ATTTGTTATTTTTTCACAATAAACTCATTTTATCTCAATTTAACATAAAATAGGGATTTATTTTCTATTCACTATTGAACTGTGACGAACACCCATTGTTACCTCACAACCAATGTGATGAGTGAATTTGCATGGCAAAGGAGAATTGACATCAGAGAGGAGGAGAATTTGGTACGATTACATAAGCCTGCCGCATAACACATGATCATTTTGTCTGTCTGTCTTATATCGTTCACCCACTAACTATGTTTAATTGTGCTTCTTAAAGAGACTAAGGAGCGTTTTCCTCGATGATGTCTCATTAGCACACTGTTTGCTGAACCTACGGCCTCTATACACCTCCCCCAGCCTCTCTTCTTCCTACACTCCACCAGCAGGCACTGACATTTGTATAATGAATCTGGCTCATTTTCAGACAGTTGCCCAATTAGGTTTGAGACACTGTGAGCTATAGAGAAACTTTCGCTATATTGGTGCAGAAGCCCTGTGTGACCAGTCTTAACAAGAGTATATTTAGCAACAATCAATTATGGATTTGCTTTTTTTTTCATTTTGAAGAAAATAAAATCATGTTAAGATCAAATTAAAGTGTATGAATGTCCACAACTTGGTTCCAGCGTGTTACAAATGCGAAATTATACAATGAATGAATGAAAAAATAGACAAGACACCAAATTAGGAAACCTAGAATTATATTTTTCTGATCTTAAAAGCAGAAAAAGTATCAGCATTTTGTATCCTAACTGGAAACTCATTTCTACTGTAGGAGAGAATGAAAGCTACAAAGTCTTCAAATCTGGATATTTTGGCAACCTTAAGTAAGCCTGTACTCTATAAGAGAAAATATTCTATATAGAGAAGAGCTTTTTGGCAGATTAGAGCAATGCATGATAAGGCCAAAAATGTGACAGGAAGCTTTTAACATTCTATTTGCATCCAGGTCTCATTGTCTCTAAGACGGGCTTGAAATTAAAGCTACAAATGAGTTTCCTCAGGTTTCAAAGGTATATAGATCTGGCCATCATCAATAGAACAATCGACTATTCCCAATACAATGCAATACAATGCTCATTTTTTATTTATTAGAATTTCCAGATGATAGATGATGTTGTCCAAAGGAAGCATGTAATGAGACAGAACCTTTGCGTTTACCTTTGGTTTTATTGGCGTTTTCCTTTGGCTGTAGGTGTTCAGATGTCAGACACATAGGCACAGAGGCCCCTGAAGGCAAGTGGACATTTTGTTGACTTTAGTGGATGCGCTTAAATTGCTGTTCTTGGACTGAACAATAGATACAATACAAACACATTAATCAAAACAAATAATTCCTGTTATCAGTGCAAAATGTGTGGATAAACATTGTCAAAGGTGTTGAGTAAATTTGTTCAATCTTCCGTTTGGATCACATAATACTTCCTGTCTAAAAAGTAATTTTGGTGTGATATTTATGTGTCAATAAAACAGGAAACTTACTTTGATATTTTACAGTGTGAAGATGTTTTGAGAGAAACTTCAGTTGCCAGGAGGTTTGGATGCCTGTAGGTGTGTCCGCCTGAGTTATGAAAGTGGACATCGGCGTACAGTGTCGTTCATACTAATCCACTGGATAAACAGAGAGAACAAGGCATTATGTTTCCAATGCTGTCCTTGCAGTATGGCCGTAGCCAGCAGATAAGATGCTATCTGTGAGATGGATAACAGAATGGATAGATTGTCCTGCGTCAGTGCTTTGGTCTGGCTGTGCACTGTTTGCACACACATCCTGGTAACACAATACTTTGCAACACCGTGTATAATAACTGGCAGGTCCATAACCCTGTATTTTCTGGAGCATTAAGATGGTCACAACTACATTTATATTCATTTAGTGTACACACTGTATATATATGTAGTTAGAACTGAATGGATTCTGTCTAAAGTGCATATAGCGAAATCCAGTTAAGTTCCATGTCTGTACTTGTACCTATATTAGGGGTGCGATGAATAACACAAAGCAAGAGTCTGATCATTTTTGTCAGGTCTCATTTGATTATGGAAAACATTTTACTGTGTCACAAACTCATTTGAAAATATGCATGTCATAATCTGAAAGACAGTTAGTTGTCCCTCTGTTGAGCTTTCAGTGTTAGTCCAGCCTGTTGTTTCACTCTCACGTGATCGTTGTGCCTCTGAGAAACTGAGTTACACTGAACATAATTTGGCCACTAGTGACCATTTAAGAATCAGAATCCCCTAGGAAAGTGTTGTAGTCTGGCCAATTAAACATATACCCTTCTCCAAACTCATCAGATATGAGTGTTTATGGGTAGAAAATAAAAATCCAACTTGTCTGATACTAACGCACTTAGACAATGCTGTACCCCAACTAAATATCAGAAATAAGAAGACACGAATTCACAACGAAATTGAATGAGTTAATCTTTTGCTCACCTTCTTTCCAAGCGCCTGGTGATGTTTTACAATTCAGACAACATAAAGTAGGGAAAGCACAGCTAAATATTTTGGTTTCCTCTTCATTTCTAGCCTGAAGCATTCTCTAAAAAGGCGTAACCGAGATCTACTCCAAAATGTAAAGGTTTTTTATTTTCCCCGGCCCTGCCTAACCATCCAGTGTCCCACAACCTGCTAAATCTATGCTCCCACGGAAAAAATGAGGCAGTTTTTAACAAGAGGTCAGTTTTTTTTTTCTTTAAATACATGAGGCAAAAGTGAATGATTATTTTCTATTCCTCCCTGTCATTGCTTAAAGGGAACTGGTCGGTCTCCTAATGAACAAGTTTTGTGTGATCGTTATCCAAGCAGTGAGTGACCATTTATGCCCCAGCTCACCGCAGGGACGATTCGTTCCAGGAATCTGGAATCTATCCTGTTAGTTTATTTTGCTTTCGCTATTTGGTGATAGAAATTTAAAGGGAACAATGGAACAACAATAAATAAAGATTTGAGAAAACTCCAGTAGTTTGAAATGATACGTGAATATATTTAGACATTACTTGTTCAAACCAGTAAAGTGACACAAGGAGGGTGGTTAAAGGATACTTTGTAGAGAAGTGATATCCCTCTCTCAAGACAACCAAATGAAATAGGACTAAAGTATTGATTCTAGAGCAACCCTGGGATTTGGGCCACGGGTCCCCAGACAGACAAAAGACCTAGAAAAAACTTCACATGGTGTTTCTGTGAAAGAAGACACTCCTGGAAATCCTGACTTATCCTGCTCTAAGTCTGAGGAGGTCTGGACTGGGACGAGTGGTGATGAATTTAAACGGTGCTTATTTTTGCTGGGGAGCTGTCTGGAAGATGACACCCTTTTCTTTCAGTGGCATAGAACTGAAGCTTTTTTGTGCAACAGCCAGGATTTTAATTTGTTTGACAGACCCACGATAATGAGCCGGCACAGACAAAGCACCCAATTTCCACTGTGTCCTGTTTTTCCCTGGGAGCTGTGATCATAATGACACTGCTGTTCGTTGCCTAGTTTCATGCTGAATCATGAACACGCAGCCACAGGCCATCGGTTTTTCTTTACTCACCTCTCTTCTTTTAGTTTTCTGGAAAAAAAACACATCTTCCCATTTGTCTCACTCTTACAAGATGAGTGTTATTTGGTTTATCCATGTGCTTAACCAAGATGATTTGATTCTTGTTGCTCACTTGATGGAAAAAGACACTGCTCTTTTCTTTTTGAACTGCTGTTTATTTTTTTCATTATAACTGTAAAACATCATGTAACTATGAAACAAGCCTTGCCACAACAACCTGTATTGCACCAGTATTAACAAATAATGATTTATCTGCATTTGTCTGTGTTCCTGATCTGATCTGCACCATTTCCATTAGTTTATGCTTTAATGGCATGAATACCATCCATTTATGTCCAGCTGATGGAGCACTCAGGCTGTCACCTCAGTGTTAAGTGGCCCCTCTCAACCACAATGGGTTATACTTTTTCATGCAAACTTGCATTTTTATGATAATAGACTAATATTACCATGTTATTGATTTTTGTGTTTTAGTCTTGCTGGAGCTTGTGCAATTATCATTAAACTTTAATACTCTCTTGGGTTTCATCTTTCTTGATGTTGTTGGTTTGTTAAAAAATCGCAGTTCAATTACATTAAAAACTTTAAAACCAAGAACAAGATATTTATTTAGGATATTAATCTACATTATAGTGCGTGATGATGTTTGTATCTATGATGGACTGGTGACCTGTACAGGGTTTACCTTGCCTCTGGCCTGTTGTAAACTGGGATAAGCTCCAATCCCCCTGTGACCATGTTGGGAATAAGCAGCACAGAAAATGGGTGGGTATCCATTATGATATTTTGTTACTTCAGGAATATTCATTACAAGATTCAAACATTTTTTATTCATTTATTATTACATCCTGTGCAAATAACATTTAAGATTTGTGAAAATACATTTTAAATATTTAAAATATGTAATGTGCTATTGTGGAACACTCAAATGTGTGCACATCTAAAAAATGTATTTGTATATATAAAACAATTTATAAGCACTTATAAGAATGATAATTTATGAAAATTAATTAAAAAAAATATATATATGAAATATTGGAGTGAAACAACTCCAGTATGTCAGGATTTATTCAGTAAAGGGAAAAAGGAGACCCAACTACGTCAGAATGAAGTCTCTTCTACTATTGGCCACATTTTTTACTTACTGTATTCTGATTGGCTATGCTTGAAAGTTCAGAGGGTAACGCGTTTGGTAACTGGTGTTTTGTTATCAGAGAGAGGGGCTTTGTCTGAAGATCTTTTAAAAGTCTTCTAAATCGTAATGTAACACAATATTGCTGCACAGAGGAGCAGTCGCTGACGTCTGATAAATGTCGTGTTCGTTAAAGTGCATTTTTTTGAGCGGTGGCATGCTGGTGCTAGCTGTGTAGCCCGCAAGCTTTGTAGCAAGTATTCAGCTATAAATGTCATATATCTAAAGCCGACATTGTAAGCGAAGCCATTTAAACGACACTTGAAATGGGCTCTGTACGAGCTATGGCGTCTACGAGGCTGCTGGGCTTTATCAATGCGAAAGCGGCATGCTCGACCAAAACATTAGCCCGGGCTGGCTGTAGGTTGAGCTCTAAGAGAAATGTCTGCAGTTCACCTTCAAGACTGCAGAGCAGCATGCAAGCCTGGGTCATTGACCAGTATGGCACGAATGGAGTTTTAAGGTACACAGAGGAAATCTCCATCCCCACAATCAATTTTGCCAGTGAAGTGATGATAAAAGTCAATGCGGCCAGTCTTAACCCCCTGGATGTATCCATGAGGGGTAAGTGACATATGTAAACAACATGGGCAAAGTGGTAAGAGTAAACAGACATGAGAGTTTTCTTTCAGCATACCCTTGGATTTTTTTTTGTAGGAGGGTATGGGGCAACATTGTTGAACATAAGAAGGGATCCGTCATCACTGATGGGAAACTACAATGAGTTTCCACTCATACTGGGTCGTGATTTGTCAGGTGTAGTGGTGGACTGTGGATCTGGGGTCACCCACTTTTCCCCAGGAGATGAGGTAGGTACTTTGCTGTGAAGTAGCTTAGAAAAGATGCACATAATTCCACGGGGCAGCTTGTGGTGTGTTCAAAACTTTAGTGGTCATACTGCCAAAGAGTTAATCTCTCACATCCGTCCATATTTCTTCATTGGAGCCACCGATCTGGCTCATTAAGATACAGAAGAGAAATGACTACTTAAAGTCCCTCCTGGATGACTAAGCTCCTAGCCCTGCCTCTGGGGGCAGCAGGCTAATTTTCGCCGTGTGTATTTGCAACCTAATTTTTCTTTCATCCACCACCCACAGCTCAAGAACATGGACTGATTAGTATATTGGCAGCTTTGCCTTGTGGTTCAGCTCTTTATTTTTATTTAAAAAACATTGTGTTCTACCATATCAAATGCATGATATTGGGTAGCACTAATTTGTCACAGTGGTATTTAGTAAAATAATCAGGAATTCTATATTGTAGTGCAGGACCTAAGGAGCAACACTAGCTCATTTAGTTGTAGTTTAGTTTGAGACGTAACTTCAATGGTGAGATACTGAAAAAGGAGAACTAGTGAGATGCCGCAAATTTCTCTACTAGATTTATTCTCATGTCAAAATGGTTGGGAACAATAGCACCGAAAAAGTACTAAGAATACATGTTTCTTTAAATCTTTGCTAATTGTACATGCTGTCTTATGACATTGGCAGGCACCTGCAGAGTTAAATCATCCAGAACCATTTCTTGGAAGAAGACGCTTTGTTATCACACAAGTGTGACTCATAACAGCCGTGGACGCCTACTGTGCCTTCACCCACGTGTCCATTACTCTCTTCCTTTGACTGTAATGCAATTATGCAAATTCAGCTTAAAGTGAATGTGATCAAATAATACAACAGCACAGGCCTAAACAGTTCTTCTTGAGCTATTCTAGTAAATGTTCGCCAACTGTTTTAAAATGTAATCGGAAACAACTGATTATGGGAAATTACAGGAAGCGTATTGTAAGATCTTAATGGCTCATTAACCAGATTCAGACAGGGAGTAGGTGGTTCATTTGGGTTGTTTTTTGATGACGGAAGATGTCATCTTTTTCTTCCAGGTGTGGGCTGCTATTCCTCCGTGGAAACAAGGCAGCCTCGCAGAATTTGTGACTCTAACAGAGTATGAGGTGAGTTCTGTTATTTTCGTGGGTTGAGTTCTGTTTTTTTTCAATTCATTAAACAATCATACCCTTGTATGTACACAAATAATAAGGGTGAAGTTGCTGTCTATCATTGGAACTGTTATGTATAGCTTATTTTGACTTAGCCTATTAGTATAGTTTTGACATGATTTTTGTCCACCTTTCTCTTTTGGTAGGTCTCCCATAAGCCAAAGTCACTGAGTCACATAGAGGCAGCATCCATCCCGTATGTGGCCAGCACCGCTCTGTCTGCACTTGTAAATGCAGGTGGTCTTTGCAGAGAAAACTCTTCAAATAAAAGGCAAGCATCAGCCTGATCCTAATAAGTATTTGCTATTTTTTTTATTCCCAAGTTAGTTTTAATGAACACAGGAGGTATACAGAAAATTGGAAGGGTGTGGATATTATAGATGTAAGTTCCTAAGTACAGTCCTCAAGGTTCTCAAATTAATGCTTTAATTTCTTCATCAAACCCTTTTGCTCTATTCTTTATCCCGGTTATTCTAATGACCTAGCCAAAAGGGGGCTCAGAATGGCACATTTAACTTGTGAGATTCAAAGAAACTAACTGGATGTGCAATCCAAGATCTTTAAGTCCTTTTTCTGGCGTAATATCTTCCAATCCTGCAAATCCCTCGCTTTGGCTGTCACTTCTTTTATTTTGCCTTCTTTGCCTATATAAGTCACACGGTAGCTGAATGACTGCTTGCTGGGGTTTCTCCTCATAGAGTTTTGATCACTGGAGCATCTGGGGGCGTTGGAACATTTTCTATTCAGGTGAGTATATTCTTTTAGCTGCAGGTTCTTTTGACTTGTAGGCGTTGCACAATTGTATGAGAGCTAGCTGTGAATATGTGCCTGTTTTCTTTCTCTATCCTCTCACTATGCCAGCTGTTAAAGGCTTGGGGTGCCCATGTAACTGTCACCTGCTCCCAGAATGCTGAGGGCCTTGTTAGAGGGCTGGGGGCTGACGAAGTGGTGGACTACACAGCCGGAGATGCAGTGGAAAAGCTTGAAATGATGGGAAAGTAAGAGTGGTGTTGTGCTTTTAGCAATGATCGTGATATAAAATTGTGTTTTGGAAAAGCTTTCGGGTTTATTTGATTATTTTGCTTACACATGTGTTGGAGGACAGTGATCTGTATGAATGCCAACCCCTGGATATAATGAGGCCACATTAGGGTTGGTGGCTGTCCACTCAGTGTGTTAATGAAAAGAAATCCTGCAGAAAAAACAAAATTCTGTGATTTTTTTCTCCCCATAAATCCCCCAATAGTGGTAAACAGTGAGTCACTTTATGGTTTCCATGGAAACTCCGATTATTAAATATAGATCAATAAAAAGCATTCTGGGATGACAACTTGTTTCTAATATCTTGTTCTCTGAGTCTGACAGCTTGTGTTTATAACTCCAGGTTTGATGTCATTTTGGACAATGTGGGGGGCGATTCGGAGCAGTGGGCTGTGGGCCTGCTGAAGCCCTGGTCAGGAGCAAAGTACGTCACATTGGTATCGCCTCTACTTCTCAACACTGACTCCATGGGCCTGTTAGACGGGGCCTTTCACGCTGGCTTCACCCTACACAACAAAGCCATTCAGGTAAACGGCCATAAAAAAAAACGAGCGCCAAGCCTAGTCTTTCTTGTTTTTTTTCTGGTTAATGCACTACAGTTGTTACCAAACAGACACCACATGCTTTTCCCCTCAGTGGTATGTAGATGCGGCATTGTGTTAGTGCACATCTGTTCAAGCACAAGAGATTTATGTGACATTTCGATTCCGTTCAGTTGATCAGATAAGTTGAAGCTTGGGTGGAGCTGGAAGGGAAATATCGTGTAATCACTTGACCAAAGCTCACAGCATATTTTCCCTCTGCTGTGCTTTAAGCTTGATCTTTGTGAATCTACGCTGTAGGCCATAATAAATGTAAGCACTTTTGCTTTTTTTTTTGTTGGCCTTTTGGTCCTGCCTGTGTGTTCAGCTCCTCCAGCTGAACAGTCTGTGAGCGGATGAACGAACAGATGAGGACCGGGTTGAGTGGCTCAAGGGGTTGGGTCAAGTTGTCCCGGGCCGTGACAGCTAAGCTGGCTGCGCTGGGATTGGGTGTGTGTGTGGACGAGACAGTGAGTGCGAAGCGGTGGCACTAGATGAGACGCAGCGTATGTGTAAGCGCATGTGTTTGCTGCTGACCCAGCAGTATTTGCTGTTTGTTCAGATTGTGGCTGACTATCTACCCCCGGCAAATACCAGTATTTGTGTCGTTCCTGCCAAACCTCCGAGCCCCTTTTGTCTGCAAGCAGCCAGCTGGTCAGTGTGGTGGGGCCGGCTGCAGCAGTCCCAGCGTCTGTGCCCAGCTCTGGACAGCAAACCCGGTTCCTTGGGGAGGTCACAGCTCGACTGAGCCCTCTAGTGTTCAAATTTACCACAGCAATAAGTGATCAAAAAAACATTTTTCCAGAAAAACAGGGCCGGCTTATGTATCCAAGAGGTGCTGCATAGTGATATAGTATCCCCAAATATCAAGCATTACAATACTTACACAATGTTAATGTTTATGGATTTCAATTGAGAGTTTTTGCATTTTGCATCCTCATGGAAATATAGCACACAATATGCAATATGTGAGAAATGTTTCTCAAGGGCAGTAAGTTGGATCCCACCTTTTATTAAGTGGTTTATAATTTAATTGAGCGGGTCAACACTGTTTGTGACTAAAGAAAGATGACAACACATATTTTCTTAACCCTCATATCATCAGCAAATTGTGTAGTAACATGTGTAAGCACAGTTTTAGTTCCTTATATTTAAGCTTTTTGTTTAATTGCTCCTTTTTATGTTGTGATGGTAAGTCAGTGTATGTTTTGTAATGCTTTATCTTTTCACACCAGACAATCACTAAGTGCTCTGTTCTGACACTTTGCCTCCACTCTGTTTGCCTCTTAGAACATATTGTCAAGTGGAATTTTCTACAGGTGGGCTTTTTATGCTCCAGATGGCTTCGTCTTGGATGAGGTCAGCAAGCTGGTGGATGCAGGAAAGGTACCACATTGCCTAAATATTCATATCAAACCTACTTGCTATTCGGAGCCAGTGTTACTGACAGAATGGAGGAGAGGGAAATTTGCATATCAGTCATAGCTTGGAGTGGAATTGATGCTGTGACAGAGAAACAATGTGGTGCTTTGAACATACCAAGGATGCTCTACATGCCTGCATTCAAGTTTTCCCTGTGGTCTAGTAAAGAAGTGAGCATCAAATTCTAACTGTGCTGGTTGGCTGGGGGTGTGCACGGCTGGCTGCTGGGCAATTTGAGTCAGGCGCCAGGAAACGATGAATGGATTTTCAAACAGTGCTGAGCAGCCATTCGCAAAAGCGCATGGAACCTCTGTCCTTTTGTCCTGGGGCTTACAGCAAGCGGCGCACTCAGACCTGTACAGGGAAGCTATGGACACACACAGCCCCCCCCTTCTCAACCACACAAAACCCACATATGCACTCTTGCCCTGCGTGTCCTGTTTGATCTGAGTCGTGTGGATGGTTTCCAGTGACGCCACCACACTCCAAATTCATTGTTAACAACAAGAGATGCTGACCAGAATAACAAGCCTGGCCGCCTGTGTTGTGGGGCTAGCTCAGGATTGTCCACTCTCATCACATTCTAAACCCCGCCCTCATATTTTCACATTTGCAGCTATGGGGGCAGAGATGGCAGAGATGAAATGGCGCTCCGAGCTTGTAATTACTGACATGCCTGAATTGTCGAATTGTTTTGGCAAATTCTTTATCAAATGAGAGATATTCAGTTAATCCATTTCTCAAACTTTTTAAGACAAGAGCATTGGAAATTAATCTGTGTGTCTGACCCATTCTTTATAATTCTTTATTTCGTCACAGATCCTGCCAGTTGTTGAGGCCCAGTTTCCCTTCACCCAGGTGCCTCAGGCTTTTCAGAAGTTTGAGCACGGCCATGCCAGAGGGAAGACTGTAGTCAGGGTGGCCGAGGAGGAAGACGACTGGGCAGAGGCTTCAGACTCAGAACAAGAAGTACAAGAAACTGGCCAGCAAAACTAAGGGAGGGGGCAGGAGAAATACTCTTAGAATTCTGCTCATCTTTACAAGGCAACACCTTGAACAGGAGCAGACTGTGTAATCACTAAAGAAAGGTCATGTGCAGTGGAAGAGCACTGCCTGAACCTAGAGTTGGAATAAGCCAAAGGCTGTTGGAGAATACTCTCCTGTGCTATGATGGAATTTTCACATGGTGCTTGAGTTATGCTGTATTTATCACCTGCTAACTAATAAATACCAATCTGTTCGGTATCAATCCGGTTAAGGTAACCAGGCTTCAGGAATTTATACAATTTTGAATTGTATAACGAAGCATCTGTGTTACAAACAAAGTTGACAGGAGAAGTTGCAGCACGACAGGAGTGGGTACCTTTTTCTCTTATTTATTCTGAGGCCATATTGTGTCATTGTGCGACTGCATTGAGCACCTGGACAGCATTGTTACCATGTAGATGTTGTTACCACTATAAATGGAACTTATTAATCAAAACAGAATATGTTGGTTCAGTTTTCGGAGGACAACCTAAATAAACTGTCTGGAACATTTGGTTTGTACTTCGGTTTACGTCAGTTTCAGGTCAGTCTACTGCAGTGTATTGAAGACATGTCTTGACAAAAATAATTTTATTCTTCTCACAAAAAATCTGTTTTGCAGTGTACAGTTTTGATTAAACAAAAAAGGACACAAGAGATTATTTTTTGTTTTGTTTGTTTGCTCTTGTTGAGTTCAGCTGGAATGTAAGGCAGTACACTATGACACGCCATAGATTCAAAAGATAAAAAACCCCGATAAACACTGTTTAAGTTAATCAAACTGAAACAGATTCAATTCTGTTGAAAAAAACTTTAACCTTAAGATTCATTTGTTGATATTTAAAATATAAAGTATTTCAAGTTCATAGCCCACTTTTGTATGTTCAATGAGCTGTGGGCATTAATACATTCTTAGAAAATAATAGTCCACATCAGACACTTAACACCTCTGCTGGAGAAGACTGAATGCCTCTGATGACCTTGCCTCAATTGAATAGCAATTGAATTCAGTTAGTCGATTTTTCATAGAATTTCCACATCCCACCGCTGTTGTAGTTTATTTGGATTGATCGTGTTCAGGATCACTTGGCTTTTGTCATAGTTGGGGCCACCTAGAGGAGAACAACAATAAAAACAAATAAATACAGATTGAACATCTATGCATGCAGTATTTCTCACTGTGGTCTATGACATATTATCTGTTCAGTGGACATCTGGTGTGTTCCACTTTAGCATAAATGTATGTCTCCATATCGGAACATTGTGCAACTTTTAATACTTAGTTAGTTACACTATAACAACTGATTCTGTGAAGGATGCTGCATTTGTTGTTGATGCTAGCATTACTCTATCCACAAGGTGTCACTAATTGACAACAATGCAACCACTTCCCTACACGAATGCCTGGACACAGATGTGGACCCTCACCCTTGATGTCCAGAACAAGGTCAGCGGTGGGGGTGTAGCGAATGAAGCCTTCAGGCGTGATGCTCCAGGAGTGGTTTTGGGCATCTGTGCCCAGCGCGAGGCCCACTCTGGATCCTGCCATTGTGACACTGGTGCTGGGAGTCAGGCAGCACTCCTCCAACAGCTGGACACCAGTGATTCAGGGATAAATTCACAAATGTTAGTTTTATTCCTTCACGATTGCACATTTCAAAAATATTTTTTTGACCAAAAAATGATTATCAATATCAATTGGTGAGCTATTTCTACTTAAAAAAATATATATATATTTATTTTTATTCAAGATAATCCTCAGACCCTGATTGAACTAAAATCATAAAAAAAATAGTTTTATCACCTTTGTCTTGTGAGATCTGCCTTCAGAATGATTAGCATACATCTGAGGAAGCTTAACCTTTTTTCATCATTGCTTTAAATGAACTGTTTACCCACTTTCTAGCAACAGTCAATCTGTTTAACCTTTGACATTTACACATTGTGCTGTTTAACAATGTCATTTGTACCTTGCAGTGTAGATGTCCATTCTGGTAGAACCATATCTGCTCAAATCCACCCGTCTCCTCTGTTTCTTGTATTCGCAGCATTTTGAGATCCTCCAAATCACCGGTCACTGACATAATTAGTCCTGTCTGCTTATTTCTTAAACAGAAATGGACCTGATTCTGCAAACAGAAGTATTTTATTCCCCAGCTGTTAAGATAACATTAGTTCTGTTCCTTATCAAACCACAGAAGTTAATACCTGTATAAGAGGGCGAAGTGATCCAATTTTCTGCCAGGTGCTAAACTTACGCCAGTCAGGAATCTCACCAGGTCTTAGTAAAATCTGTGCACCTCGATAGTTGATTCCCTCATACAATATCCAGCTGATGGGGAAGAAAGGACAAAAAAAAACATTAAATATCACATCTTTTACAGCTAGGATTTAATGAAAAGCAGTTCTCTTATCAGAATAGCTATTGGTTTTATCTAAACTCAGTCCCAATTTCTGACATAGAACTTTCATATGTATGTATCACATCCTCACTTAGTTCGTGAAAAGACAGCTGTACTTTTATGTCTGAGTTTGGGCTGCAGAACAGATAATCTGTCAAAATGTGTTAGGTCTTGTGTTGGTTCAGGTTTACTTTGGCACTGGATGCTGCTTGTTACTCTGACCTGACTGGCCGATCTCTCCCGCTGTAAGAATGTGCCACTCCACAGACAGCTCTGTCTCTCTATGAGCCTTTTATTTCCTCAGCATGGTCTCACACTTACAGTCTGAATCTTGCACATCAGCAGCAACTTTCCATCATTGATCCACTTGTCAGTGCTGCCATCTGCTGCGCTGCATAATAAAACCCTGCACTCCTTGCATCCAAAGTTTTTAACCTAGTGAACATTTTTTCTATTCATACACGCCAAAATATAACAGTCTACACATCGTTTACTAAAATATCTAAGTTTCACCTCTTTGTTAATTAAAAAAAATTATTTATTTTTTCTAACAAATGTAAAAATAACCACATATAAAAGCAGTGGTGATTATTTACATAGACAGCCTGGGGGCTTGCTTGTTTATCCCCCTCTAAACCCACCATCTTTATTTTTAGGTAGTGCTGAGGTTTATTGACTTTATGATAACAGCACAAAGCAATAATGGCAGACCACAGGGATGTAGTTGTTGTAGCTCTAATAATTAAAATGTAGGTGCAAAAAGCTTCACAAATTTCATTGACTAAGCCAAGGATTAGGAATATATTCAAAATAGCCTAAGAATAGCTGGAATTTAGATGTGAAAGTGCTGGGGGCAAACAAATCACAGATAGATTTGTGCTTAAAGCAAAAACATTGTTTTGTTTAATGTGTTTGCTGGGAGGACAAAAATAAAAAAAAGAGGCTCTGACAGCACGCTGGAATTTTTCTCCAGCTGAAACACAAACATGCACTAAGCTTTCAAACACACACTGTGTCAGTCACAGCCGGTTAGCTGCTTTACATTCCTGTATGGTCAGTCCATGACCACTGAAACTCAGCCCCTTTCACATTTAGTACTCTGAAAAAAATACAGCTCAGGGTGACAACTGTAGCAAATTTGAAACAGATTCAAACGAGTACTGAAAATGCTATGCTGGTAGGTCTGCAACAATAGTTGGATAAACTGCTTATTCAAAAGAACAAAAACAAAAATTATATAACAATGGTCTTTATTCTGAAGCCATTTTCCTGGTTAGTTTATCAAATCAGCTGTGGCCTTGTAACTACAGGAGTACAATGAGAAGTATGTTTTAAATACAATTTTAGCACTGTATTTGAAAAAAGAAATTCATACAAAGTTTTTAGTTTCTCAGTGAAGGAAAAAGTTTCAGACAAACTTAAATTTGACCCACCCTCTGGAAAAGACACTGTAATATTTGGGATTCCATTATAATTGAGAATAACATTTCTTCCGAAAAAAGTGGTTGTACTGTACTTACACGCCCCCATCCACCTGCACAGACTGGACTCTGCCACAGCCTCCAGCCAGCTGAAGGTTGACCGATCCCTCTGTGAAAAGCACTCTCTTCCCCCGCAGAGCATTTCGTTCAAACAGAGTGATGGATGGCAGTGAGAACTCCTGCCCAGAAAGATAGAGAGCACATCACCAATTGCTGCAAGCTGCGGGTCATACAGCCTGAAATAAGGGTTATTTTAGAGTTACCCTGGAAACAGACCACACTCAAACATTTGCACTCCCCGCTATATTCACTCTCTGACTGTTTTTTTAAATTAACCCACATGTTGGAGTGGGTGGTTATTCTCATGTAGAAGAAGAATTTTGCACATTATATTGGTTTTGTGACTTTTCTGAAATTGGAAAGGGTACCTTGTTGGATTTAAGCAATATGTTTCACTGAGTGTTAATGTTTCAGTTAATTAGAACATAGCGTGTATCTTAAGAGAAGAAAAAGAGTCTGAAATGGGGAATTGGCAGCCTGCATAATGGGGTTGGTAAGTAGGGTTTTAGCAGAACTGAAAAACAGCCTCACAAAGCCAACAGTCTGCAGCGACAGGATGGATGAGCTCCCGCTGACACAGCCCATTGCTCTCAGGTCTGGGTAGCTGCCCGCCTCTAACACATACATCTTTCCTGTGAAGTCCTGGCCTTCAAATGCCAGCCAGCTGAAAGTCATTGCAGAAACACAAGAAAAAAAAGAATGTATTAATGCAAAAAAGTAGCACATATTGAAATAATAAATTAAAACCTCTGAGTTTCTAGTTGGATATTTTATGCTACTACACAGTAATTATATGATTAAATATTTATTATAACATTAACTTAAAGTTGAAATATGAATTTGCTCCGTAAAGGTTTTTGCAAAGTGGTTCCTGTCTCTAATTAATCCTTTTCCATAACTCACTACAACTGCACTGTGACGTGTTATCTACAGTAGGCCAAATTACTCACCTGCCGGTCAAAACCTTGCAGGAGGCCACAGAGAAACCGTCCCTCAGGGACGCTGTGCTATCATCCAAGGTGAGGAGAGAGCCTTGAAAACCTGGATCAGAGAAAAGCTGCACCTGTGGTACAAACAGCAAGAAAATAAGACTCATCTGAGTCATCTGAGACCAAGAATATCACAGCAGGGTTGAATCACGCTTTCCATTCATTTTCCCTGTAATTAGATGCTCACCTTAAACTTGGCCGTATTCTCAAAATTATCCTGAAAGACAAGACAGGGAAGGGGAGGCCAATTAGCAAAAACTAAGCTTCAAAATAAATGTGTCCGCCCGTTTCTGTGTTTTAGGTTTGGATATGGAGTCAAACGACAGGGAGTGACATTAATTATAGCAGGGACAGGGAAAGCATTACTGGAGACAGCAGCCTTTAAGGGTTGTGTTGGTATGTTTTAAGATCAAGCATCCGTGGCTTATTCGTTGTTGAAATGAGAAATGAGAACTAGCAGCCGATTTATTAGTAGATGATGTATCACATTCATCCTTCCAGTGACAGTGACTCAGAGTGACAGATGACTTTATTGTTGTAATAGGAATTTAAATATTCCAAAATCTTAATAGCTTCTAAAAAAATAGATGGCCCAGCGTAATGACTTTTTAATCTCTAAGAAAAGTCTCTATTTAAAGCAGATAAAAATAATTTAACTCTCGTTTTCGAATGTAGTTGTTGTACCAAACACACACATCCGGTGTGTGTTTGTAATAATGTTTTTAGAAACCAAAACAGCCTCATGAGTCACTCCCTTGTGATCCAAGATGTTTTCAGTCTTATGACAAATATTTTCTTCATTGAACTAGGCTATACATTCAATTGTGTTTTTGCCTGTGACTCATGCTCCCAAAAAATAGCCTACTGCATCAGGTTTTGACTGTGTCCTCAGAGATTCCTCTGCTCCATCTTAAAATGAATCTGTCATGACTTGTCACATGCAGTGAAATCTGCCGCTCAGCCCAAGCGGAGCTGTCGGGGGAAGTGAAAAGTTACAAACGCATCCAAATGTTCGACTGTTAATCATACGGAGCTGGAGAAAAAGCAAAAACACGCCGGCTGTTGTGGCAACTGAAGGCAAAAAACCCACGGCCTCTGGACTTTCTTACTAACAACCAGGCTATTTTTCCACCAACCAAAGAGAGTTTCATGACTTTCTTCTGAGTCATAGCTCTTACCAGCAAGACAGGCATTGCTGAGCCAACTCTGTGCTGCAGCGCCCCCCAGTCCTCCGGGCTCCCATACAGGCCTTTCTCCAGAATGAAGCACTCACCGCAGAAGCCCGGCTCTTCAAACACAACCCAGCTGAGGAAGAGAAAACATAGGGGGAGAAGAAGCAAAATGACTTTCTGAAAAAACAAGTTTTCTCCTACTTTCATTTCATTTTAATTAGTAGAAGAAGGCTGTCTTTGATGTGCCCGCAATTACTGAGGAAGAGACTGCAAACATTCCGAAGTGCAGCGCAAAAGCCAATAATTCTTGGTCAGGATCCAACTGGATGGATGTGACACTGTCGTGCCTTTAGCAGACTTATAACATTCAAGGTATCTCTTAGCAAGTTAGAATTAAAACGCAAGACCAAACTGGAGGCTCAGAGGGAAGGCAGTTACGTGAGGCTCTGCAGTCTAATAGCAGGCTAGCAGCAAAACAAGAATTTCAATGCTGTGAGAGTCCTTCCTTGGAAAGAAGGACACAATGTTCCACACCACTTAAATCAGTACTCTCCATTGGTAAGCAGCAATCCGCATTGCATGTTCTGCATGACATTATCCTTATTTGTTTCTGGCCTGTTTACGGCAAACTTTAAGCTTTTTTTTTCAGCTGATCACAGCATAAATAAACTCATTTGAGAAAACAGGAAAGAAACATCACTTAATGGATCTTCTATTTTACCCAAAGCATGTTTTCATAAAATATGTCAAATTACCTAATTTAATTTCAACGATGTTTTGTTGTTCATGGTACAGAGTAATCTAACACCCCTGGCAAATATACAAGGATTTGACTTTATCCCCCACATCAGCAGGATGTAAAGGGAGCGTGTTCTAAAGTCAACACACAGACAGGCAAGTGAGGCGTGGTAAACTAAAACATTAGTGAAATTGCTAATGTGTCTTGACCTGTCAGTGTGGGTGAGGCAGACTTGCTTCTACACCTGAGTGGAGACATAATGGTTGTGAATCTGCCAGTTCCAACTCTAAGATAATTCTGTGGTTGAAGAGTAGAGGCTCAGGTAACTGAATGTTAATGGAAGCTCTCCACCTTCCACAACAAAACAGGTAGGAATTAAAGGTGTGATTTCCATTGGAAATGCCCACAGTGAGACAGAAGGTTTTCAAGTCATATTAGTAAAAACAAAACCAAAAAAACAGGTCAATTTTCTAGCTTCTAACTATATCTTTTAGTATCACTTACACACCACCGATGACATCAATAGACTGTGTCCTCATCCCGTAGCCTGTGTCTTCCATGTTAGTAACGGGGACTGTGACGTCGATGTTCACCCCAAGCTTGCCAAAGTCTCGGTCGCTGAACATTTTCATGTGTGGGGCCAGGAAATCCTGAGGCAGATAATAAAGAATCACTGGATTAGAAAGTCGGCTCAAAGTACACAATGATTAATGAGAAGGGAAAAAAAACACGCATTTATCGATGGCAGCACTTCTCAGACTTTCTCTGTCATGCCCCCTCTCTGAAAGAGGGAAAGAGCCCCGTGTGTCACAGTATTCCATCTGAAGCTCTTTCATTAATCACAAACTACAATAGCAATGACGCTAAACTGCATTCTCTAATCACAATGCAAAGAGCGTTTCCTGCATGACTCCTGTGACTGGTATACACGGCTTCGACATTTGTTGTGACAGGGTGGGTTCATACTTTTGTACTTTTCAGATATAAACTTGATAAGAAAATACCTTTTGCATAGACAATTTTTCCTTTATTTTAATTAAAAAAAATGTTCCTTCTAAGCATGTTTGCACGGTGCAGAACTCACAGAAAGAACCGGTCGCAGTGACTGAAGCTCCGGGCCACCCCAGTCGCTGCAGTCCAGGTATTCTCCTTCCTCCAGGATGTGCTGCTGACCTTCAAACCCCGGCTGGCTGTAGCCGACCCAGCTGTGAGAAAAAAAAAATTTAGACATGTCATCGATTAGAAATGAAATCGTAGATCTTAGATTGATTACATAAAATCCAAACCGCGAGTAGCTCGCGGTCTTCAGTGACCACTCACAATCCTCCAATGATCTTCAAAGATCCCACAGCCTTTAGCTTCTTTGTGTCCAGGTTAGTTCTGTTTGTAGCAATGCCTGCTTCAATCTCGCAGACGTTAAAAACGTCACCGTCGATCTCCAAACTGAAGCCCTCAAAGCCAGGCTTCTCATATACAACAGCCTGAAATAGACAGAAGACAGATGCTTTTTTCTTAACGTTTGCTCTGAAATGCTCATTTGCATAAATGTTTCATGATAACGTTTCATTCAGAGAGGGATGTTTGTATCCTTATTCTGTAGTAAAATGGTTGAATAACAGGTTAGAATTGTGAACCTAAAAAAGATGTCATTCATCCCACATTTTGGGCCTGCCTCTTGTGGTTGACTTGGAAATTCTATTTCTGGCTTCAAGTAAGATAAACAACTATTTGGCCAAAGAATGCACCGCATGATAAAACATGTTTTCCACACATACAGAACACAAGTACCACGGTTCACACATTTAGTTGTTTATTCTATATATTTCTAAAATCTGAGTTCTTCTTTTTCTGATTAATTCAACATCATCGCCTGTAAGACTATAAAAGATTTTTCAGTGGAGAAAACTGTGCATACCTTGACCTCATCGGGTTTCTCCACTTTGAATCCACCCTGGAAAAGAAACAACATCATCATCAACCATTTTTCTCTCTGTATTAATGTGTAGTGGAGAAAAAAATCTAGAAAGAAAAACAGCTCCACTTAAAAAAAACAGCTGCATCAAACACTTGCAGGAGTGAAAAAAATGAGAAAAAGAGAAGAAAATACACAAAGCTCTGTCACATCTACAGCCTTTTTCGTGAAGGACTGGCTGCTGTGGGGAGAAACAGTCTGAATGGATTAATCAAAGCTGCTAAACACATTTTCCCCATGCTTCCAAAGTGGCATTTAATAAATTATATATAATTTATATAATTCACAATTTCTTAACAAACAGAGAGCAGCTGAAAGGACTGTCATTTGGTTTTAAGCTTTCCTGTCAGAAAATCCGCAGTTTGTTACTGGAAATATGATAAATGATGGCTTTTGATGAAGAGTAAGTGTTATTTTTTATCCTGAAGGGTGCATAAAAGGGTGTACCAGATCTAATTCGTGACTGAGCCTCTCCACTCTACTCTATCCTCTTGTGCATAAAGAGCAGGGACGAGGACTCTCGGAGGAGCTACGAGCTAAGAGAGGATGGAGACAGCAATGAAACTGTCAGGAAAGCGTCAAAGCTGGAAAGATTTCTCCTCTTAGAGGCTGAAGCGTGTGCACCAATTAAAACTCCTGTCCTTTAGAGTTTTGATGTTTTATTAGACACTGAATGTAATGAAAATTGTTTCATGGATGCATTTTCTTGACACAAAAAAGGAGAGGAAGCTATATTCCCCTGAGAAACAGCACTTAAAACGTATGTGACCAAGCAAAACTGCCATGGAGCCTCAATTATGAAGTGGCTCAGAACGACAGATAAATGGACATATGAACTGCCCGAAGTGTTGCCTACATTACATACGCACCATTTTAAGTGGTCTAAGCGATCCGACAAAGGGTGATGGAAAGCCCCAGGCCTCTGGAACAGGGTACACTCCCGTCTCCAGCACAGATAGCATGCCCTGGAATCCTGGGTCACTGAACACTTGCCACCTGAGGAAAGAGGGGGGGGACACCCACATAAGCAACATGTCAAAAAGTCCCTCCACATTATGTCTAACCACAGCCTCTGGTGGCTTATTAACCACTAAGCCGTGGCCAGGAGTAATTTGTTACTTTGATAAAGCAGCAATTAGAAATACACTTGCTGATGTGTTTTTTTCTTCAAACTCAGACACAACTGGCAACTGTTTGATGACCTGTAATCATTGACAACCGCACCACGGTACGAGTAAGTAAGTCATTGCTTTATCCGGGTTTAATTCTATATCTGCCTCTGTGGTGAGTCATGCAACTAGAGAAAAGAACAAAAGATAACTGTTTAAGGGTCAAATATCTTGGGAACAGCCTGCTTCGGTTTCGAAGCATTTCAGTTTCACCGTGGGCAGCCTCCCTTGGAAATTAGCCACTTCACTGGCGTTCCGAGCGATTATGTTGCACAACACAACGCCTTATATCCAGCCATCACGTGTGCGTTTGGCAGCAAAACAAACGGACCCACTTCTTTAGCCCAGCAAAGAAGAAGTGACACAGAGAAATTACGCCAAGCTGTCTCTGCCAAAAGACGTATAACAACAGAAGTCAGTTCGCTCCCTTAAGACAACACGGAACCTCATCTGTTATCCAGTTATCCCCAACAGCGCTGGCAGAAGCTGCTGAGCAAGAATAGTTTGTGACTATCTTCTGAGCAGAGATTACTCGAAGTCTCATGTCAGTTTTGAGACCCTGAAGCAATCTGTGACATGTACGCTTTCAACAAAAGGTGCCAAGATAAAGCCTCTAAAGCTTCTGAGGGGACTGGTGCCATTCATTTCCTTGTTGGGCAGGGCACAAAAATGTCCTGAATGCCTTCAGTTGTTAAGTGGAAAAACATTCCCTCCACGTCTGTCTGTTTCTCACCCTCCGTTTAGTCCCCACCTCTCTGCAATGTCTGCTAACATGCAATGGCAGGACAGACATTCTTTGGAAGTGAGCGAGAATGAAAACCAAGAGTTGAAGGTAAATAGTAATAATTTCTCAGGAATTTGTTGTACCCAAACAGAGACTATATCCCATTAGAAAACAAAAGCGTAGTGAGCTCAGCAGCGCAGGTTTTCCATGCTTCACTGCAAATCTGATGACAGCCAGTCAGTCTAAACAGAAAAGCACTGACGAGAACTGGAATGTTCTCAATTCCTGCTGACCACAGTTTTTTTTTCCTCGACTGCCTCAAGCCATTTTCTTCCAGTGCTTCTATTGTTTAATTTGACTCAACCTGCTCCTCCTATCGGGCATCTTTCTCTACACCGTTCTCCAGTGAGGACAGATCATCAGAGCACGTGCCGCTGTACTGACTGAGTAATAAATCTGTCGTGCGTGTATGTGGGTATCACACACTTAAATCACACACAATTTGTGGCAGCCTCTCAGGTTTTTTTTTACAAATCTTGCATAAATAAATGCTTGTTATTTCTCAGCAAAGGGCAGGCGTCGGGTCTGCAGAGGGAAACTAGAGCCACATGAAACCGTACTTTCAGATTTGCTGTGTGTGCTCAAGACTTTTCTGCTAGTTGCCACAGACATGTCAGCCATGCGCATGGATTTGCAAGCAATTCCTTTGTTCTCAGAACTGGGAATAGTTGTGGAAGAATCCAGCGCTTACGCATAAAAATGACAGGTTTCTGGACCCAGTGAAAGCATTGAAGTGCTCCAATACAACTTTTCAAAAACTTTCAAATCAAGTTTAGAGCACTCAGTTCATATTCTGCAATTCAAAATCCGCCTTAGAAAACAAAACATAAAAAAGAAGGATCAAGGAAAATTAAGCTATGTAGTGGAAAAATAGTTTCACATGCTCCTTTAAATCAAATACTCACACTCCAGAGTGAACCTGGATGGAAGCAGTATTAAGTGGGATACCAAATGAGCCCGTCTCTATAACATCATCGTGGTAAGGTGTAATTCTGCCGTGGCCCTCCGGCTCAGTGAACAGATCGATATGGGGGATGCTGTAATCCTGTAGAAAGGTGGAAACAAAGACGGAAATTATAAGCAGAGGCCCACACAAGTCCTTTAACAGTTCCTGCCCGTGAACGCCAAAGAATAACTCGATAAATAATATAGTTCTCTCTCCTGGAGTGGACTTGAATATCAATAAAGCAATTTTAGATCTGATGTGAGGTGGAAATGAAGTGGATAGCCAAGGTAAGGTGAGGTTATTGCAGTTAATAAGGACACTCACCCTGACAGCAAGTCGAATGGAGCCGATCAGCATTGGCGGACTGTTCTGTGCTTCGGGTTCCAATACTGGCTCTGCCCACATGTTTTCCAGATCGACATTCCCCTCCTCCAAGGCGATGAGGCGTCCCTGAAAGCCCGGCTTCTCGTAGAGCACCCAGCTGTATCAAGGATCAATAAAAAAAAGGATGATTTTGACAATACCGATAGCTTTCAGGCTGCGAGTTAGATCTATGCTCTTGGATACAATATAACACCAAACATCTGGCTACGACCGGCAGCTGCTTGGCTTTTGCGGATAGTTCAACATATTCTCACCGACAAATCTGTTGCCATGCTTGAGTGTAAAGGCAAAATATTGCAGGCTACAAAGATAGACAGCCCACTGAATATTTGTTATGCATGACACTACATAACCACTTTTGCATTTTACCAAGATAAATGGAGAAGAAATTTTTGTGTTTGACATCAAGGGGCGGAAAATGGAAAGGAAGGTGTAAAACCGAGAAAAAACTAGATTCACAAACAACTTTTATCAGGCACTTTAAGCCACTCTAAGAGCATCTTATTAACATAATTCAAATGGATGCATTTAGGAAATGCATCTTCCACCTTCTATTTAATTGCCTTTGATTGCTGCATAAGTTATCTTAATACTTATGAATAAAAGAAGACGTACACCGGTTATCTTTGGGAGCACGATAACGTAGCAATCAAACTTGAATGTCAATGGCATTGCGTAGCGTACACATCCAATGCATTCTTTATGACTACATGTGCACACACACGTCTACAAATAAATGAATTAGCATGAGAGGCTATTAGACAAAAGCATTGCAATATCTAAACTCGACTTGGTAGATTTGTTCCACACTGAACAAAAATTTAAGGAAGTCCAACTAGATGAGGCAGGGTTTAAGTAATTGGATTAATTGGAATTTTTTCGGCTTCTAGTAATTGAATAGAAATTAAATGGTTTCTGACTGCAGTGAGTGCAAACTGACTATGGGACTATGCAGCAGGAATATTAAAGCCTGGCTGTGGGCCAAGCATGCCGCAGAATAAATCTCCATGCTACCACAGACAGGTTATCAGGGAATTCTTGGCTTAATCTGCTATCGAGGTGTTTGAAATAACCTGTGAAGAATGAGCGCATAAAAAAAACGAGACTCCACAAACATTTCACCAAATTAGTCCTGCGATAATGGGGCACTTGCAGTCAACACTGGCCTCACAAACACGCTTGACAGTAATTACGACTCACATTCATAAGAGCACTTTTCTTTCATGGTCCAAAGACGCTGGTTGTTTATTGTTTACTACTCACCATCCTCTGATAACCTTCACAGATATCTGGGGGGAGAGCTGCAGCGACGAAGCATCTGCTACATCCTTGTAAATCTCATATGCTTTGCCAGTGAACTGAGCTTGTTCAAACAACACCATCTGCATGGAGACAGGAAGGGCAGAGCAGAGTAGAGAAGAAGATATTTTTAAAAACCCCACGCAGTCGCCACAGACAGAAATAACTGTAAAAAGTAAGAGTTGTTCAATCTCTGAGGAATCTATCTAGCTTTAGTAAGAACCTTTAATGTTACTGTTAGAGGACGTCAATGTTCCACACCAAAAGCTATAAACGGTATACATGGTTCTGAGAGCAAGCAAAGGGAGCAGTTTATGGAATGAATATTCTCAAATGCTTAAACAGAATGCAAAGAACAAACGAATAAGCCACAAAACTGTGTACTCTGGAGGTTCTATAGTTTTTTTTTCCTGGGGCCTTTAGAACACAACTGTAAAACTTTATTTTTATAAACGTCACATTTGAAGTAAGTTAAACCCCGGCACACCCGAAGCAGAAGGTAGAGTAAATTAATAAATAGCTGGTGTGCAGGAAGAGACTCAGCCAGCAATATGGGAATGTCTGGCGTCGTTGCATCAGCTGTAATGAAGTTTAACGATAATGAGGAACCACAACCTTTGCTCTGCGTTGGCAACAATGGACTCCATGATTGAAACCGTACCCGTGTACGTTTGACAAGACGTCTTTTTTTAATGCTCTGTTTACCCCCAAGAACATCATATGAGAAGCAGATGTTTTCACCGAACAGAGAGTCTGTTTAGAATTTCTGCTCCCTCCTGTTTTAGTCTGTGTGAGCAGAGTTATGGCTACTGTACCTTTCCAGGGCGTTTGTGAAATCCCTTGAGATGCTTTACCTGGAATACAAAAGCAGATCAGTCCCTTGAATAATGCAACAAACATACTGGGCATTGCAAACAGCCGTCAAATGCTAAAAAGTTGAACTGCATTAGCGTGAGCAACAGCTCTGTGTCTGGGGATTTTCCTGACTATTGAGCTAACTTTCAGGGACCCAGTGGTTCTGTGGAGAGTAAACAGCTCTGATTTACCACTTAAACTCTGCTGACAGAAAATCCAGTAAAAATAAATAAGAAATGTAGCCTTTCTGAGGTTACTTATGAGTTCAATGAAGTTTCAATTAAAAAGCATTTTTTTGCTGACACAGACACAGAAAAATTGGGAACCATATAACTAAAACTAAAAAGATAGTCACATAGTTTTTTCCCTCTGATGCTTCCATGAATCTAGGAAAAAATAAATAAATATTTTTTATTCAATAAAAACTGAAAATAATTAGATTCTTTTTTAATACTTCTACTGTTGTGAAGAAACAACTGTTTGTGGTATATCTTCCATCCTTTATGAGCACTGATTCGAAATAATGTTCAGTGTTGTGGCTCTTTTCAGTGTGCCTGCGACAAATCCTGATGAAACTGTCCAGCCTTCTAAAAGAGCACATATCTGTTTCCAGAAGCAACATGACAGACACATTTCCAAGCCCCCTAAACTCACTTTACAATTTTGTGGAAAATTGTGAAGTAGGTCTGAAAAAATTGGCTGTAACCTGACAAAGATTTACTCCAACAACTCAAATTTCTTTGTCATGCGGATTAATATTTCACCACCCAAAATAAGTAAAGAAAAACATCTGAAATGAAGTGAATTATTCAGATGGAAGGGAGACAAAGTAGTCTTTTTAACGTTTGACAGCTATCAATTAGAAATTTTTCCATGACAACTTGACATGGTGGAGCTCAAAGAGAAACCAATGAAATAAATAGTCTCCTTTTCCCCAGGCAGCACAAGATGACAACCATTCCTGAAAGTCTAAGCTGACTTTTCAACTGCCAAAGAAAGCATGGGTTAATCTGTAATAATATAATATGTTCCATCCTGTGGCCGTAGGTCTGCAAAGGGCAAAGCACACTTACATTGTCTCTGAGTATCCCCTGCGGCTGAGCCAGAGGCTGCTTAAAGTCAGTGGGCGTAGGGTGGGTGGTTGGAGGAATACCAGGAAAACATGGAGCAGGAGGATCTGGAAGAACCGGACTTGGTTTTGCGACCACATCTGGCTTGCCTCCAGGCAGCAGAGATGTCATTTTTCCAATGAACTGAAGTACAAACAGAAAACTATAAGGTATGTCATTTGTGTCAGTGGTGGCATTTGCTGCCATTTCCATCTCATGCATGCATGCATTGTTTTGGCTTTTCACTTCACTGATGAAATTCCACAGTTAATTTTAACATTCAATTCACGTATTTAGAGTTAAACTAACCTCTGGTTTGACTTGCTCCAGCCCCTGTACGTTCTGCGCTGCTTTAGCTTGTTCTTGTGGGAGGTACTTCTCTAAATAGTCGGGCAGCTTGATGTCGTTAAAAGAAGGAAATGGAGGACCTGAGTCACTGACCACATCCTCCACAGTCTGGACTTCCTCTCTGCTCTGCTTGGCTAGTGTGTCTCTGTTTGCAACTGTGGCCGTTGGGCTTAGTAGGGCTGCCTGGGGTAAAGGTAGAGGATTTAGCTGGGGGGCATCGCTGGGCAACGTATTCCCTGTGTCGGTGCCCGGTGCCTGCTTTTGACTTTCATTCTTCTTCCCTCTAAAGTTGGAAGACGTGAGACTACTTAAGACACAGCTGCTCTCCAAGCGAGACTTCACTTTTATCTGATCTTCTTTCTCCCCTTTGACATCTTCCTCGTCCTTGAGGGGGCTTGTTTCCTGCTGGGAAGACTGGGTGTCTTTGCGGCTAAAAAGCATGCTCCTTTCAGCAAAACTGGCCCTGGCAGGTATCAAACCAGATTTGGTGTCTTTGCTCTGGAGCTTGGCCGTGAGGCCTGGAGTTCTGTCTAGGATAAACTGCGTCTTCTTACTCAAGCCAATTGTAAACTCGTCAGGGTCAAACGGTTTTTCAAAGCGGTCTTCTCGGATGGCTGGCATCGCGAAGGGGGGCTGAGGTGTCCGGAGCTGGCTGTGCTTACGGGGCGGAAGGGAGAACGGAGCGCAAAGTTTCTTGATTCTCGCAACGAAATCGTCATCGTCGAGCTCACCAGGGGCGTCCAGGAGATTGCTTTCACTCCCAGAAGAGGTCAATTTTGCTTCTTGGAGTTTGAGCTTCCGCTTTGGAAAGTCTACGTCTAGCCAGCTAGAGGGGGCGTCCTGCTGTGTGGAGGAATCGCCTTTGCTCAGTCCGGGTGGCAAATGGAGCATCCTCATGGATGGACGATGAGCTGTGTCTGGGCTCAGTTTGTTGGCCTCTGGAAAAGTAGGTGTTTTTGGAATGAGACTTGCATTGACCGTAATTGGTTCCTTTTTTAATGTGTGGAGCTGCGAATGTGAGAGTGAATCACTTGAATGTTCATTCACCGGCAGGTTAAATTTCTTCTCAGCTGTATTCTCTTTATTGCCACTTTTAGAGCTAGAAGAGATATTATCAGAGAATTTATGACTTAATTTTGCTGCATCTCTGAGTAAAGAGATATTGCTGGTGCTCTCTGTTTTTTTGGATTCCCCAAGAATTGGGTTCAGTATTTCTCCAGAGATTATCGCTTTAGGCAACTCTGACTCAACAGTAGAAGTCTTTAGCATATCACCCACCCCAACTTCTTTTTTGCTTGAAGACTTACAGCCAGAAATAGAAGGCCCTGTAGCAGATGAGTCTTTCTCTCTCTTCGGAGTTGTGACAGTATGTGGAACTGCAGTCACAAGAACGTCATTAGTGACTTTTGACCCCTCTCCCTCATCTGGTGTAGTTACTTTGCTGATGAGCTTTGAGTTGGATAACCCGGCGTCATTAGCTCCATGTGTACATGAGTCATCAAAAGAATTCTCAGTTCCTTCCAGAGCTACAGACGCAGGTGGGGGCACTGCTCTCTTCTCAATCACCACCGGCTCACCTTCTGTTCCGGGGCTTTTTGGAGGTGCATTTGTGGTTGTCTGTACCTTCTGAGGCTCTTTATCTTGCTCTGTGCCACTCACAGTCTCATTAGTCTGAGGGGTGGTACAAATAGCAGCTTTTACAGGATGCGCGGCCACTGACTGATTGCCATTTTGTGTTTGAACATTGAGAGCTGATGAGCCGCTGGTCTTTTCTGATGACTGAATAGCTGCCTTCGGTTGCTTGGATTTTTTAAGACTGTCATCTTTCCCTGCGTAACCATGTCCACTGCTTGAATCCTTGGTCTTTGTGGGGCTTTTGTTGGAAGAGAGGAGCTCCTGTGCCTTGTCTTTGTTTCCCTCCTCGCTATGATTTACTTTCTCAAAGGCAACCGACTCTATTTTTTGTACATCCTCCGTCTCAGTTTGACAAATAAGCTCTACATCCTTGTTTTGGGGTTGCTTTTCTGTTGATTCTTCTTTAGCAGGAATCCTTTCTTTTGTTTTATCGACTGGGTCAGGCTGCACTGACAATTCTTTATCTAATTTAGGCTTTTCAGTGAGTGACTGCTGCTTAACAGCAAGAGGCTTCTCATGAGGCTGATCAACTGAGGAGGCTATTGATGGGGAAGAGGGTGAAGTTTCACTTCTGCCCTTAGAGACATTCTTTTTTCCCAAAGTGAACTCAAGGCTGGGTTTACCTAATTTGCCCTCCATTTGGGGTAAAACGGAGGGCTTCTTGTCAATGGGCTTCTTTGTCTCAGTGCAACAAGAGCCAGTATCAGGTTCATCTTTGTTGACAGGTGACTCAGGCAATCCTTCCTGTCGTTTGGGCAGGTTGTCAGTATTCTTCTTTCCAAATGAAGCCTCTAAGAGCTTCTTCTGTTTTTCAGACATGTGTGTTTCTTTTATCAGTGCCTGCTGTTCAGTGTCATCAAAAGCCATCTTATCTGATGTTTCCTCTGGGATTTTAGGAGACGGGGTCTTGTCTGCAGCATCCACCTTCTCCTTTATCAAATCAGTGACCTTTGGTTTGTTTAGAGCATTTGGGCTTGTGGGACTGGCTGGATCTTTACTTTTCCTCTTTTTTGAGCGGGAGCCTGTTTTGTTTGGGCCTTTGGGGTCTGGGATTGAGTCATTGGTCTGACTTGAAGAATGATGGGTGTCCTCTGCTCTAGGAACGGTTTGTTGTTTCGTATCCTGATCTGTTGTTTTCGACACGTCTGTTTCCCCTGTTTTAGAGACCAACGGCTGTACTTCTGGAGTAGAGATTTGCATCTCTACAGCAGAGTTATCTGGCCTGTCTGGTTTTGATGTTATCCCTGAATTTGGTTGTGTATGAGTCTGCTCTTTTGTATCCAGTTTAGCCTGACTGTCCAGTTCTGGCACTTCTGAAGACTTAACTCCCCCAGATGAGGTTGATTTTTGATGCATTCCTGGCCTGGCTGGCGTTTGAACCATTGCTGCTTTAGTTCCTGCCTCTGCAAATATCCTTGCACGTTCTTTGATTGTCATTGGCACTGCCCTGGCAGGTGATGAGGAGCTAGACCTGGTTGTGCTCCAACGCTCAGCTGATCTTGACCTCTGCTCTGACAAAATACAATCTGCTTTGAACCTGTCTGCGACCTTTCTGTTCGGAGACCCGTCAGCACTCCTCGGTGTTTGGAAGACTCTGTCGGAACCTCCATCGAGCTTTCGCCGCTCAAAGAGACTGATCTTATCTGAAATCCCACCGACAGTTGACTCAGACCTGTCGACGACCTTCTTTGAGTGGTGATGTCTGTGAAAAGGAAGAATTTAAAATTTGCAGCATTTCAAAAATACCTTCAAATCATGCACGTGTCACTGAGAAATCTGACTTAAATCTGTTGTGATTTACCCAAATACAAATTATCTCAATTAAAGCCTTATCTGAAAGGACCAACCCTAAAAAACATGAACTTTGTGTTCTGACCCACGCCTTTGTTTTACTCTGCATACACTTGTGTTATCAATACCCGCAGCAGGGATCTGTTTTGACAGCAATGTCATGATAACTAAAGCAAAAGGCAGGAAAAAGTCATTCATTTGAAATGTACAACTTAGTTGAAATGTTAAACTTGGCAGGTTTCAACTAATAGGCGCTGTAAGAAAAATGTAAGAGACTTTATAAAGGTGTAAAATAATATTTTGTTTACTCTTTTCTGTTGTCCTGTTTTACTCACCTTGAATCAGTCTCTGTTTTTGGCTTGTCCTGTGCTTCATTGTTGCTGTTCTGTAATGTTGCTGTGCCCTGGTGGCCTCCTTCTTCAATTTTCTTTGGATTCAAATGCACGTTTTTTGTAAAAAACTTCACCTCACTCTGAGATACTTTAATACTCCTGCGTTTGGACTCCGGGGTCTCCGTCTTCCTCTCTACGTGGTACAAACTGTCGTCCGTCTCCATGTCTGCGCCTCCATCTATCCCACCAGCCTGAGCGGTGGTGACGACTGAGGCTGAATTCTGGAAGTTGCTCAACTGCTTGACCATATCAGAGCGGGGAATGTTGCTTTCCCCTCCTTCAGGTGAGGTTTTTAAGGTGGGGTTGTGCTTGGGGGAGGAGCCCGCGGGTGTCTTTTTCTTGTCAGTGTCCGGACTTTTGCCCTGGGGACTAGAAACCGATTCCCCCGAGGAAGGGTGTCCTGTAGTAAGTTGTGCATTTTCAGGCTTTTTATCCACCGGGCTTTTCCCTCCATCTCCCTGAGAGTTCTTCCTGACTTTCCTTCTGGCTGCGTTTTTACGCCCCATGCCCTCTGCCTCTGTTTGTTCTTTAGCTGCTTCAGGCCCTAACTGTGAGTCTTTGTGCGGTTTCTGTGACACTCCCACTGGAGAACTGCAATGACTCTGTGCCCCAACAGCAGGTATCACATCTTTCTCTGAACTTGACGGGCTCGAGCTGTTTGCAGAATCAAAACGTATTGACGAGTTTGCCTTAGGGAGAACTTTGAGGCTTTTTTTGACTGTGTGCACAACGTCCTGTCTAGCACAAGAATCTTGGCCACACTGAGTCACGCTAGTCTCCTCCAGGTATATGTGGAGCCTCTTGCCTGTCTGGGCATGTGTTTGTCTCTGTGAATGAGGCTGGGTGTGGGCCTGGTCAGAGTCCCACACCACTCCCTGTTCAGATGTGGAGGATAGCTCTGTCAGATGACAGACATTCTTCACAGGAATCCCGCCTGCTGAAGTGCAGTTGCTGTTCTCCTCCCTCTTCTCGCCCGGTCCCGTTCTCTGCTTCCTGCACTCCACGAGCTCCTCCTCTTTTGGACCTCCTACTCCTGTCTCTGTGCCGCTCAAAGCAGAGCTGCCTCTGTGGGCAGACTGCGTGGCGTCCTCCTCTTGACAGGGGAGAAAGTCTCTAAGGGGACGTACTGAATCGGGCTGTTTCCCTGCCTCCGTTCTTACGGAGCTGTCACACGCCTCATCTCCGTCTGCATTTTGACTGCGTTCGTCAGTGGAAAAGTCATTTTCATTTGGTGACTTCGGAGCTTTTCCTTTCCAGGGAGAGAACCAACTGCCGATACGACCCAAGACTCCGGTACTCGGCTGCTCTTCAGGACTGTCAGACTAAAAGCAAAGCAGAAAAAAAAAGTCCATAAAGGATAGTTTGCAAAAGCACCCATGGTTAATAAGCATGCATATTTCCAGTGAGTCTGCGCAAACTTTTGTTTGAATAGAAACAAAAGTACACGAGATAGTGCAAATAATTAATGTCTATGAACAAAAGAAAAGTGTCCAGATTTCAAATTCACAGGAAAAAAACAGTTTTCATAGACATCTGTCGTGCAGCCATGCATCTCTCAGCATTGCAAAGACATGCTTAGTGGTGCTTAGAACCTGTAAGCTTACCGTAGAAAATACCATATCATTCAGACTCTTTATGTAGGTTGTGAACATGTTTTTGGTTTAGAACAAAAACTCCTACAGAGCATAAAACAAACACAGAATCATTCCTCCAAAATAAACAATAGCAGTGTGAAAAAGCAGAAAAACACAATTAAGGAAAAAAAATCCCCACCTCAGAAAAGTGATAGAACATACAGAACTTTCTATAAAAGAGCAGACTTTATTCTCAGTTAAAGATCGACTCACCCTTATAAACTTGAAGAAAAGTTTTAGAAAGCCTCGGAAATGCAAATCACCGTAAATGCGCAAAAATTAAGATCCTTCCTAAAACGCACGTCTAACTGATGGGCATGTTGGTGTAGTCCCTCTGGTCTCAAGTTTAGCATCCCAAAACTGTTGGAGCGACGTAAATGCGTGCAAGTGAAGTTCAGCCCCCTAAGCAGGGCGCGCGCAGCTCGGCTCTTAATATGATGCCTTTAAAAGTGGCTCGTAAATCTTAAACCTCAGAGTCACTATGCAACGGTTGATTCCTTAGGTTTTTCCCCCACGTGAGTCACTAATCCGCACTTTCATTTTAGCGGCGTTTGCCAGTACGGCTGCTGGCCAACTTCCAGTTTTGAAAATAATCTTTGCCTTGTATCTCTCATTTTATTGTTTTATTAGTTACGCTGCCTTGTAATTTTAGAAAACATAAACAAAACAAAACTGGTGAAAGATAACTATTATTATCGTTCTAATTCTGAATGGCAATATACTAATACAGTAATGCTTAAAGGAGCAAGCCATATCCAAACCTTTGAAACATCAAAGAGCTTTGATATGCAAATTTAGGAAGTTCTTCCTTATATAGTGAAATCATAGTATTTTCTTGACATTACTTAATGATTCTCCTCCTCAAACCAACTTATCTTCATTTAAAGCTTCAGCCACATAATTCATAACAAGATCCAATAAGGAAAACAAGAATCAATTTCCCCCATTTTTCCCCACATGTGAAAGAAGCTCAACATCCTCATCACACAGTGAGGGCTGCATGGATGGAGAACACTGACTATGCATGCTATGCACCAATCTCCACAAACCAAAAATAAACAAATAAATGTAGCAGATTGAAAAGATAAGCATCGTAACAACGATATGAACGTACATTTAGATAACCGACATTGCAGAAAATCATCAGCATCCACACCTCTGATCACCTAACAGTGCAAGGGAAGCTTTGGTTAATCTTTATGTTGCCTAAAAGGTCATATAAATAGGAGATTATGCCCTTAACGTAGATAGAAAACATGTACCCAATCATAATATGAACTTGATAAGTCACTGTGACTCAGTGTCCAGCTGCTCTTGTGTTTTTGCTTGAAAGTAAAACAATTCTTGACTCATTTTTATTGTTCAATTAGCTGTTAGCAACATGACAGGAATAAATCAAATTCTATTTAGATATGTTGCATCAATATTCAGAAGTTCAGAAATGGTGGCAAATTAATAAAATGGGGCTAAATCCATGAGAAACAAACAAAACTAATTTCCACTTAAAATTTTGAGTACAAGGAACAATGAGATGAGTATTTGCTCTCGTGACAAGAGTCAACAAGTCTCAGTTAACGCAACAGCGTGAACTGAAGGAAGTATCACCATAAACTTCTTAAGTTTCTGAGTTTTGTTTGAAGTCATGATTGTATTTTTTCAAAAGAGAATGGCCGGTTTGGTGTCAAGGAAAACAAAAGCACCTAAACTTTACGACACTGATCTAAATATGGGTGAATTTGACATTAAACGCACGGGCAATTCAACTTTCCGACATTTATTCTACAACGTGAAGGCCGCAGGAGGCTGTGTCCAAAATAAGTTTTCCAGGGGAAATGACGCACCGACTGTGTGGTTGTCTGAGCCTGTACGATTCAGTTTTCGGTTTCCAAAATCCGTGGACTCTTGTTTCATTTGGTGAGCAAGTCAAGTCAGTGTTTCCAAGCTCCTCCTGCCAGAAAATTAACCCCTTAACTTCCATCGTCAGTTTAATTTGCCAAAGTCTCAAATTTAGAATCAAACCAATGTTAAGGAACAGGAAGTCGAACTTTGGTTTGAGCGTATGTGTTTATATAAGAGCTGATTTTTACGTTTTCATTCAGCAACCTGCGCCATCTGTCTCACCTGTTGCTTTGGGGTTGCTTGTCAGTGGCTTGACAATAAATACACCGTCTAGTGCTTTCTTTCTTTCTTTCTTTCTTTCTCATTTACTTATCCACATCAAACATCCCCTCCAAACTTGTATTGCGACTTATTTTACGCACAATATTGTTTTGAAAGTTTGGGTGTTTGTCTACTGAACCTATCAAACGGCTCACATGTCAAAGCGGTTTTGATCTCTTAAACTGAAACGGTGTCTTTTGCAAACCAAACTGTCCATCGCCCAAAAAAGCCGGAAAATCCCAGACTTAATTTCTTTACAAGCGCGCCAACGCAGACAGAGTGGGATCTCTTACCATGATTACAGTCTCTCTCGGCTGTCTAGGGAATAAAACCGATCAGGGGAAGCCCGCTGCAAAAGCCCTCACGCGAATGAAGCTTTTCAGTTCAGGTAACCTGTCCCTCCTCAGCCAGAACCGGGCAGGCTGCACCTCACTGCCTCATTCATAATTCATGGGCTCTAAAGTCAGGTAAGTTTTTTAGGCTGACTTGGTAGTTTACCGGAGTGATGTCATTGCGATGGCTACCCAAGTAGCGTTATTTTTTTCCCCCAGGAAGTGACACCAGAGGAATGTGCCCGGACCAGGTAACACACCCCGACGTTTGGGGGACCTTGACACAGCCGTAAACTATGTCAGGTTGTTGTGCAACCGCGTCAGGGGCAAAGAAGCGGCAGGGCAAGTACAGACAGCTGTTTGACCGAGATAGACAGCCCGAGACGCAGCACCTGAGTTCCGGTTCTGCTCCAGAGGGAAATCATCAGAAGCTTAACTCTTGAACTTAATAAAAATTACGTCTGCAGACCTTTGTCAGACTTCAGCCTCAAGCGCAGTTTGAGCTGCTTTTATTTACACGCAACAAACGCTGTGTACACTGAGCAGCGCGCAGGGCGTCCTCTGCCGTGCAAATACGCCCCCCGCCTCTCTCTTTCCTCATTCTTTATTAATGAGTTGCTGTAGCTGAAACCCTTCTCCTTTTTCCCTCTGAAAAATTCACGACCAGCTTTTGATGAAGCTTTCGCTTCCAAAGAGCAAAACAAACCCAAAACCGGTAATTCTCATAATTAAGTCGAGTTTGATCCCATGCATTGTGTGCCCAAAGACACACACACACACACACACACACATATATATATATATATATATATATATATATATATATAGATGCTGACCCATATGGGCTTCCTCAGATGTAGTAATCCTCATGAAAAATTCTAATCTTGTTTCTGGTTTCAGTCCAAAATGAGGAAAAGTCCAGTTTTAAAGGATAAGGGCTCATTAAACACATGGTGCCCAATTTGGGCACCAAGACAGTTCAGCATCAGCTGGTTCTGGGAACCATTTGGCAGTATGTGTCAGGAATGGTTTCCAGCACCGTCCTGCATTTCCCTGCAGTTAACCGACGAATCCAGCAGCTGGCCTCCACAAGTGGCTTCCTTCTGTTGCCGTTCACTTTATGACCTGTGAGGCTCTGCATGTAGTTTGCCTTATTTGTGGCAAGATTAAGGTTAATTAATTTAGCCTGAGTCATTTAGTTTGTATTTCAGTTCAGGATGAAAAGGTCATTTAAAGATCAAAACTTCCTCACATGAATCTGAGACATCGGAAATCTAAAGAAATCCTTTTCACTTTTGATTCCATGTTTTTATTTGTTGTTAGTGTACGAGACACTGTCCTTGATGATGAAAATATTTCATCTACATGAAAGCCATAAACATGTTGTCTACCCTGTTTGAACGCCGGCAAACGTGACATCCACTAAACCACATAAAAGTTGGAGTAAACAAAATGCCATGGCTTGCTCTTCCTCAGTGTGGCCTGTTCCTCCCCGTCCTGCTGAACCGTCATTGTAGCCCACCCACTGTCAGCCGCACGTCCACGTGAAACGCCTTGGGGAATTTTGGAGAGTTGAGCACGGAATTCAAATAACTCCTCTGTGCCTGGACTTGTTTGTCAATGCCCGCTAGGTTCTTGGATGCCTGCCTCTATGGTGATCGGAGAGCCTTTGCTGAACAGAGTCATCTAATTCATGCAGAGAATAGGAAGTCGGGGATGTGTTTTAGTCATTCTGAAATCGCAGGAGTTGGACATGCCACTTAAGAATAACAATTTGGAACAGGAGAAAGGTTTGTTCAGTGCATGGAAAATTAAACAGAGAAATGAAGACGCGGTTCTCTCAACGTGTAGTTATCCGCACACGTGCCTGTCCACCCTCTGGTCTTGCACTCTAGGATTGTACAGTGGACACAGTATGTCTGAACACCCACATGCCACATAATGAACAGGAATCTTCTTTACTTCTGCGCTTCCCATTACCGCGGGGCCATTAAGTCTGTCGTCACCACAGCAACAATCCCCGCTGATGTTGGGAGGTTTCTAGTTCAAAGTTCTGTCATTCCAAAGAGGGGAATGCAGCACAGGTTCTCCTGCTGAATGTTTGGCAGGTTTTGCGAGCTGCTGCGTAGTCAGGTAGTCTTTTTCCTGATGAGCTTTGATCATTTCCTAATATAGTGCAGTAACCTTTTACTCTGTGAACATAGCCCCTTATTCAGAGCTAACTGCACCTTGAAAAAGATATAAACATTTCTGTTCCTCACTGTTTTCAGAAAGTGGGGACTCAATGAGCTCCTCCATTAGTGCTCATTCACTAAGTTAGTGAAAAATCACTAAAAACTGAACAGAAAGTGTGTTCTGGGAGATATTTCCGAAACCATATCTCTACCTCAAGAATAAGCAAACGGTGAAAACCAGGTCAGCCCCATATGGAGATGAAACCCTGTTTGTTGGGTGCAATAAAACCCCTTCTTACTCCAGTCACTTTGTCTTGCTCCTCCAAGTCGTGCCAGCTAACATGTGCAGAACAATCTAGACTCTTTTCATCTGCAGTTCCACACTGGTTGAATGACCTTAAAGGCACTATCAGATAATCAGATTCTCTTTCCTCCTTTAACAAATCCTTGAGGACCCAGCTCCTCTGAGAATATCTATTGTCCTGAAAGCTCTCAATTCTGTTATTTTCTGATATGTAGCACTCGATGTATGGTACCAATGAAATCTATGTCATTGTTGAATGTTAATCATGTTAAATCCTCTTCTAGCATATTGCACTCAAGGTAAGTGTGGAACTGGTGTTGTAGCTAAATGTTAAATCCTCTTTTGTAAGTCGCTTTAGATAACAGCGTCTGATGAATAAATAAAAATAACAATTTCTATGGCTATTACTGTGTTCTGATAAAATTACAATTTGATTAAAATGAGTGGTAACATCCACCTTTGTCAGATCAGCAACAAAAGTATGCAGTTTTTTTTGTTTTTGGTGTTGCACACAGTGTTCTGCACTGAAAAAGAAAGAAAGGAAAGCTTACAATCTGCAGCTTTTTAAATGTAGCTTTGGCTTTCTTACAGATTTCATGCTGTTCTCTCAGAATGCCTCAATGGTAAACCTTTCAGTTAAGAGAATTTAATTGCAGCTTGCAAGAATGTGAAAATCCACACAGATCATTTTACTAAAAAATATTCCTTGTGGTGAGGTTGGTGCAGAAAATAGAACCTTGGGGAAAAAAAAAAAAAAAGGTTAACGGCAACGAGTAGTCTATTTGCTCCAAAATGTGCCCTTTTAAGATACGGAGAAATCTTGAGTTGATATACTTAGAAACAGGTGAGTTTTTTAACTGAATTATTAAAAATGGATTTTTCTGTGTTTGCATAATCTTTACATTATTAGAATCTCTGGCATACTCTGCATGTCCTCTCAGAGAAATAAAGTATTTTTAAATTATGGTCTGTATTTCCTGATGATAATAATGTGATGCTCATTTGCATAATAACCCCCTAATATTTCTCAAACCCATCTTAATTAATTTTGACTGGGGAATATTGTTCCTTCATGAATAAAGAGAGGTAGAGTGCATCGTTCAAAGTTTAAACCTATTTTCTTTATATATGACTGAGCTTTTTAAAATATTTTCTAACTGAAAATATTACTGTGATGACAGAAAATAATTCTTAATTCCAAAGTGATTAAAAACTGAGAATAGGTTATCTTATTTAAATGTTTGTCTTCGGGCTACTTATGTGCTCAATAACTATTTGATGCAGTACCTTTTTCCATTGTGATACACATCCAAAATCAGTGATCTTAGTTCAGTTTCAATCTCCAGGATCTCTTGAGAGAAGCCTTCTGTTCTGTAGCTGCAGAATGCTCTATTGTATTCATTAGTTCCATGTTAATTAGTCTTTCTGCAGCTTCTATTATAACATTTTGGCACAGCTGGGCAGAATTTCTGTTGTAGCAAACGTAAAAGAAAGTACAAGTTTCTGTAAATGAGATTTTGACCAGTGTTACTCCAGCCATTCATCTGACAGTTAGAATATAGTATATCCCTCCATGGTCAGCTTAGAACCAGCAAATGGTTTATGCTTGTTTAGGACACTTTGACCCATTATTCGTCCAAAAAGTTTCTAGCTCTATGGGTTTCTTGGGTTGTCTCTTTCAAGCACCTTTCAACTTTGAATTGATCTGTTGTAGCTTTGGAGATGGTTGTTTCGGCCAACATTTTGCATTTTATAGTTTTTCAACCTGTTGATCCAAATACTATTAAATATGGGATACCTGATCTATCAAAACAGTGTTTCTTTGTGTCATATTCAACTAGAAAAAAGAGCAAAACAATATGTTTTCCATTGGGTTTATTATGTACATTTATTTAATTCCATTTGTGATACAGTGAACAGATTTGCAAATGTGATTATGCTTTTAAAAAAGAGCAGCACCGAGATGTTGAAGTAGACATCTGGTCTTTATTAAACGCATCATGTGTATGTGTAACAGACTGCAAAAGTGATGTGTGCTATGACTAATCCTTCAGAAGTGATGTCTTTTGATAACCAAAAATATTAAGTTGACCAAGGGCTGTGAACAGATGCGGTGAGGTCCCAGACAGCACGGTTTCAAAAAGACAGCGGAGGAGCGAAATGAATTCTGCAAGGCTACGCTCCCCTGTGATCACTCTGCTCTTTCATTATTTCTTGTTGTGTGGGACGTTGAGTCCAGAGCAGCACAGATGCATCCTGTTCAGATGGCAGTACTCAAAATAACTTGAATCATCATTACAAATAAAAATATTATCTACCGAGGAAAATAGCTTCGAAGACCTTTGAGTTTGTATATGAAATGGGCACATGAGTCAGGTCCTGTTATGCTTTATGAATGACACTATTGGATAATAGATGAACAATCTAGAATAAAATGAAGTATATATGAAGTAGTTTAATATGTGGCATGGTCACATCATAAATGATAAATTACATTACTATGCTTGAGTTTTCATAGAGGCAGCCTCATTGGGAGTTTCTGTGAGCATGCTGAGCTCGAGACTGACGCTCGAGGACATCAGACGGCTCATACAGCAGATCGTCCTCTCCAAGTGTGGAACTGTGATCCAAGTTCACAAAGTTTGGGATGTTGAAGTGAGACAGGAAGGGAGACTCCTTGTCTGTCTTGCTCATGTCTATTAGTCCACTGAGACGCTGGTGTCCCCCGTCTTCCTCCAGGTCCTCCTCCATCTCATCCACCCCAGAAGACCTGATGCTCATGCCCCATTTGTCTTTGGTAGAACTCCCGTTTTCATCTAGTTTCTGCTTCCCCTGACCCTGATCCTCCTCATTGATGTAGAAATTAAAATATGCCCGGGACCCGGCTAGCAGCGGGCGAGAGAAGGCCTTGTCATTTTCGTTCTGGTGGCCGTTGATGTCCACAAGGCAGCTCCCCGGTCTGTGACGCTTTTCAGCAGAGTCTGGGTTTCTGTGAGGAATAAAAAAAAAAAAAAGCACAATCCCTGTCACGTTTTTTTACACAGCTTTTTTTACACACCTTAATCAGTAGGCTACATCCAAAGTAACTCCTTAGCCCCTCTCTCAAACACATCATGGCTTCATCCTGAGAGATAATGAGCTAGGAGCTGTATTTCTCGAGCTCTTGTTTTTTCCTGAGACAAGATTTGAAAGTGAAAGGAAATAGCCCATGTGTGTGGCCTGCCATACTCACTCCTGGTGTGGTGCTCCAGTCTTAGTGAGCAGCGTGAGAACAAAGAACATGAAAATGACGAATACTGCAAGCCCGACCCAGAAGCCAATGACGATAGAGTCTGAAAGGAGGAGGAAAGTATTAGTGCCCACTTTTCATTTTATCTCTTTGTTTCTCCCCATTTTGTAGCTGTTTGATTTAACTCATCAGCCATTTGCTCAGTGGAAAAAATACAATTGCAAAGTTTGAGACAACAATCATCCCATAAAATTGGATTACAATGACTGGCTTGTTTAAAGTGGCTACTTGGTCCCATTAAATGCATAAATCATTAGGTATGGGCTGAAAAAAAATCAACTCAGAGGTGTCATTAAACATTGCCTCAAGTCAATTTTACTCAGAAAGAAGCAGCTCATTCCCTCCCTTCAGCTAAAGCAATAAAGATAATGCTTCGAGAACAGTAATCTATCCTAATGAATTTAAAGTCCACATAGAATTCACAAAGTAGAAGGGTCTGTTAAAGGGTTGTTAAAAAGCGAATAGAGGGAATTCAGCTTACATCTGTGCGCTTTGAGTCCCTCAAAAGACACAGGCTCTTCGTCATCATAATATTCATACTGCCACACGTAGTCACTGCGACGTGCGTTGGTATGACTTCGGTTGTGAAAGTCCGACATCTCAAACCAGTTGTTACGTACCTCGAGACAAGAACACAAACCAAATCAGTCCCATCCTAAAGCCATTTAAAGGCTCTGTTTGTGCAGGATAGGCTGCGGCTCTGGTTGAAAATTCCTGGATTCCGCCACCAACCTTGTGGGATGGTGTTTCCAGCTTTAACTGAAACAGCAAGGGCTCAAAACGCCGCACGGCGTCGTGGAATCCATCGCCGTGTCTTTACGCGAAAAAACTGTGTCCATCATCACGCGAGTCCTGCTCGGTGCGCATCGCTTTTTCCAGCAGCCTGTGTTCTGGTGGCGCACTGACTCCGGAGGACGCTGTACAAACAGTGGGAAAAAGAGAGAGAGAGAGGGGGAGAAACTTAAGCTAAGTGTTGTCATGCACGACACGAAGCTGTGCATCTGGATGCAGGCACGTCCATCATTCCATGCTCTTAAACTCTAATTGTGACAGGTCCCCTCTCACAATTGACAAGATTTCATTCAAATTTAGGGGAAAACTTTGATTTACCCGTATGATTTTTTATACTTGTTATGTTTACTCTGGTAGAAAATGTGTTTTGTTGGCAAGGGGGTCATTGGGCAAAAGGCTGGGTACATGCAGGGTTAATTAAAATAATCTAAATCCGTGAAAAATGGGATGAATCTGCTTGTGAAATAGTTATTAGAGGCCTTCTTTTAATCTTTCTTTAAATCTGGATTCAAGTAACAAGATGAATTAGACCTGTGACATTCTTTCAACTTCTGAAGAGCCTAGTAGAGGTACTCCAAGCTTAAAGAGCCTCTTCAGCTCGGGATTAACTCACTTGCACTGACCCAAATTAATTTAGCACATCATCAGAAATCTCAAGAAACACAAAATCAAAAATACATTTGACATGCAACCATTTGAACGGAGTAAACTGCTGTTTGGTGTGTTGGTTAATTCTGGTTATATTCAGGTTAGGAAAAAATGCCATGAGAGAAAAGTTCTGAATGCATTCACAGTAGCAGGAATCTCCAGAAATCCAGATTGTACATGTGTTAAGGAAAGTTAAAGTGGGCTATGTCTCTGAGTGAATTACCTTGTCTGAGAGGTGTTGAGCTCATGCATCTACTTTGCTTTTGTTTAATTTAGCTCATGATCTGTCTCTTCCTTCAGTTTAATAGAAATGTACTTTCAAATTAAATGCCATTATTGACTGATCACATGCTATTTAGATATTTTTTTGCTTGTGATATCCCCTCTTCTCTATTTCTTGTTTTTTTTGTGTTGATTTTGTTATTCAATGGAGTGCCTCTTTGTGCTTTCATTCCCTATGGGTTGTTTTTTTTTTTAGTTCATCGTTAGATTCATTTTGAAGAATTTTCTTCACAGAGTTCTCCTTGGTTCCCAGGTGATTCATTCTTATGCTGGTCTGCTCTGTTCTCACTCCCTTACACCCTGCCAATCAACTGTCTGCTGATTGGCAGACTGTGGGTAGGCAGAGATAGATTTTCTCGCCCTATGCCTACACAATTTCTTTGAAATATTCTGACTTTAACATCTACATGGGCCCTTTCCCGTCCCTCCAATGAACCTCCCATTTGTGCTGAATGTTTCTGCTTCGTCATAGTAGATGGAGGAGGAAATGTAGGTTAAAAAAAAATCTACTGATTATGATTAGACGTAATCAAATCCTTTGAAGCTTTGCAAGATTTCTGCTCTCTTTGCTGGGATGTCAACATTTTTTCACTATAGTTTGTTTTGAATTAATTAATCAAGGCTATGACGGCAACCAGAGTTAAGTCACCAGGAATACTTTTCAAACTGTTGGATATTTAGTCTCCGTGAGGCATCACCACACTTCTCTACTCTGTTTTTCTCACCAACAGAAATATCTGAACTGCAATTCATTTTTGCTTTATTGCTGATATTTCATTTTAAGCCCACAGTTAAAAAACAAAACAAAATATAAACTACCCCATAAACTAATCATCCCATCAGTCTGTATTGTCTCTGCTAACTATAAACAAGACAATAATGTGACTAAAATGAAAAGTAGAGTACATATATTTGTTCATTTTGTCAACCTGTTTGAACCAATTTCACTAAAAGCTAGAAAGGGTAAAATAGGTGCATCAAAGCTTTCCTAGCTTAATTTATTCAAAATATTTATCAGAAAATCAACGATGCATGTTACTGATATGATACCTGCCTTGCAGGACCATCCCCCAGGATTTGCTTTGCTCTCCTGCTTTGTTCTCCTGCCAATGCGATGCGATTCTGCAAAGATGTCCGGCACTGCTGTTTTCACATTGAATCTTTGAAAGGCTTTGATCAAAACAACTGCATGATATGGTTTCAGATGGAGAAAAGGTTCAAATACTTCATAGCGGGGAGTAAAGGCTTATCCTTCCATCAACGTTAGTGCATGTGCAAAATGCAAGACTGAATCATTTTGAACTATTTTCTTCCCAGTGTGATGTTGAATCCATTAAATCAAAGAACTCTTGCCATGTCTGCAAGTCATTATTCTTTTTTATGCTTCTTCACAAATTTGGGAAACTTGGTTTCATTACTGTCTGGTGTACATTGTGTTAAACAGACAATAAAATACCCATTTGATGTTGATGTTTATTTTCTTATATAATGATCCCAACCAACAATTTGAATAGCAAAACATTAAAATTTTCGATTTACTGTCTGTCTTCTCTGGAGAACCTGTGGCTCAAAGAGCTGCTCTTTACTTTTTAAAATGATCCGATTGGGTTTCCAGCAGATAATAAAATGATTATTTTCCATTAAAGCTGGGAAAGTAAATCTCCCTAATGACTTTCCATAAGAAATGTAAACAGCATCTCAAATGTCAAGTTCTCTTGTTTCTTTTCTTTGTTTAACTAGCATCACCATTTCATTCTGCTAATGCAGTCCTGAACTTTTAACAGTGCAAAACTGATGCATCAACCCATTAGATTAATTAATCAGTGAATTACAAGTAACATTCAAGCTTAAATGTCTGTCCAGTATGTCTTAATATAATTTAATTCTGAGCTGCCCACATTTTACTAATAATACAGAATGTGTTTAATCCACCTCCTTATCAGATTGGTATCCTTTGAATTATTTGGGATATTAAAATCCCATGAATGAATGCTGGTCGATCAGTTATAATTAGAGACAACATCTTGTGGTTAGCCTTATCTTTAAACACACCCAAATTCACACTTTTGTGTCATTATTTTGTGTATACAGTGAGAAAACATCAACCCTAATAGCTTACCTGTATTCAGAGGTGTCGTACCTGAACAAATGGACAAATTCATTTGTGTTGTAAACACGTAAATGTGTGACTGTTACTCTCACATTTATGGTCCCAAAACATGAGTCATACACTCTCCCTCCTGGACTACTAAACCCATTCTTTTTCTTCAGCCTCTTTCTGACAAAGGGTGAGTGACTGGAATTAGGATGATGCTAAAAAGCACAGAGTGTACGAAACATCAACATACAGTAAATCAGATGATTAATGTGCAGGTGCATGTTCAAGGAAAGATTCAGCTTCAATTTGATTAATACCTTTCCTGATCTATAGTTAAATTTGATCATTTTGTATTGAATTAATTGTATTCCCCTGTTTTTGTCTACATATTTCTGAATTGAGTATTATGCTATCACATTAGTTTTCTACCAGCAGATAGTTTCCAAGGAAACACTCTGTATTTCAATTAACTGGGTGATGGACCAGCCTGACCCTGTGCCTTGCCATTCTAAGAAAGAGAAAAAAAAATCAAAACTCTGAGAAACCCACATTAGATAATGTACAATACGAAATTTATACATCATGAGATCATGTACATCTTTTGAGTTTGATTATTCGGTAGGATTACATTTTTAATTGCAGCTCCATGAGGCTAAGTATGTGAATACTAAATATATATGATTAAAGTGCAACTGGCTGTCTTAATAAGAGAGGAGCTTATCCTGCAGCTTGGCTGTTATTAGCTACCTCTAGGCAGAGTGTCTTGCTGACCATTGATCATTTGATAATCTTTGAAGACAATATATACCAGCAATATCCTTCAGAGCTGAGGCAATCCTTGCAATCCTATTTCAGTCAGCTTTACTTATGGGGAAGGTGCCCTTAAACAAAAGGGTATATTTGTAAGTGTAAATGCTGTACATCTAAAATAAATTCTTCTCCAGAAAAAATAGCATGACACACCAATCGGGGAAGCTATTTTCACACCTCTAGATGTAAATATGACCTTTGCTATATGCCACTCTGGGTTTATTTTGTGGTCTTTTTTAGTAAAACTGTACACTTTGGCAACATGATTTAACTTGTTGCAACCATGGGAATCTTGTCTAACCCTTTTCATGTATCAGTTGCACATTATTGGTGAAAAGAAACATGATTTTATGATCTAGCATGCTCTGTGTGTGGAGTGTGCCTAAAGCACTGATATAAACTGTTAAGGTGCTCTGTTGGGAGCATAGTTTCTTCATTCAATGACCGATTTCTCAACCTCACTCACAAATGGACATTGTGAAAGCTGTAAGCTGCGATGCATTGACTTTTTCACTTGTAAACTGATAAATGATCAAGGCCTGTGTTCTGCATCACTGTATCATTTCGACTGGAGACCGCTCAATATTTAGAAGAAACCTGTAATTTAATAATTTAATAACAACACATCGCATCTTTGCTACTTGACCAGGACACTTTGTCAAATGAATACCTTTAAGAGTTAAACTCTTCCTTGGCAGCTCAAGCGTTGAACTACAAGAGTTCAACATTTCTACATTTTTAGAGCTTTACTGGAAAAACTGCTGGACTTCAAAAGTAGTTTCACATAGGAGAAGTTTTGATGACGGTGTCTGTATAATGAGCTATGTGCGGTTTTACATAATATCAGATGATATAAGAATTTATCCTGGTTCTTCTGTGACATCTTGTTAATAAACCTGATAAACACAAACCCACTACAAACCTAAAGTGCATTTGGCACATTTTAACTTCAGATGATTCTGCAAATGAGAAAAAACTAGAAACAATATTACAAATCACACAAATAAGACTTAGAACAAGACTGAATAATCAGTGTTTCAATATACACTTTGAATGAACAATCATTTTACTGGACTGTTTGAAAGACTTTTATATATTATTTTGTTTTTAATGCTCATTTCAAAACCAAACAAACAATCTTTTCTAATATCTTCTTATATTTTTAACCACAGTAACCATATTTGAAACATTTTCCTAATGTATTTAAATGCACTATATAGTTACATATAACATTCTTGATCAATTTCATCCATTTACATGCATGGGATTAATGCTTTGGGTTTGGAGGGTTAAGAAAATAAGTCAGCCTCCAAAAAGCTGCACTGGGAGGAGGTATTAGTGAGCATCTGCTCCTCACTAAATGAATCAGCATCTACCCCTGCTGTTGTCATATGGAGGAATGTTTGCTTTCTTAAACCAGGATTAACAAGGAAAACACTGCAGCATGAATAGTGAAGACCAGTGTCCTGGAACAGAACTTGTGACCACACTTTTTGTTATTTTATTTGCTGGATGCCTGTTACTGTCAATTCTAAAGTTAAACACATTTTTAAGTCAAACATTTGAACACCTAAATGCCTTGTTAGATTATAGATTTGGGCTTGTTAGATAATTGGAAAATGTTCCTGTATCATGTTGCTTAATAGTCTTATTTGGTGTGTCTCTGTACAGCAAACATATTTTTTCAGAATGATAAAGAACAAATCTTTCATTTGTAACAATATCTGAGTTTCTTTTCTATCTTGTTTCTGTAGCTTGATTAATCAGCATTAAGAGAGTATCTAAAGCTCCACTAGTGGAGAACTGTAATTCATGTTCTATATTTATCCTTCCATTCACGACCAATGGGAAGATTAAAGAAGATTGGTTTAATAAACCAAATGTAAAATAGCACACCTTTTATTCACATTTACTAAGTATATAACTGGTCTTACAACACTGATCCCCCTGAATTAAATATAAAACAGATTCAAACACTGAAACCCCTTATAAAAAGAGTGGAACCATTCGAAGACGGGAAATAATTATCTGGGTTGACTACAACCTTGAACCACTGCTAATAGCTAAAGTATGAGCCCATTACTTTGGCATTTACAGATGTAATTTTCAGTAACAATTATGGCCTATTTCTGCTAACTATGAAATTGGACGGAGCCTTTTTTATTTTATTTATCTCGGGCTTTGTAAAAGACGTTTTTGCCTCAGGCAGCAAATAAGCCATATACTAAGAATAGAAAACCAAGGTGAAATGTGGAAGAATACATTAGATTGTTTGTGAAAAACCTGAAAATATTGCCCTTGGTGAATAGCATCCTCGGTGATCCTCGCTCTACCTTGCTAAAGTTTATAGTTGCCGTATATAAAGGGTTGTAGTTCTGTCATGTAACATATCTATAACATTGACAGTCCTGTTTTTATCTGTTTTTCTGCATCTCGTCTTTTATTTCCAGATCAGTTGCCCAAGTCAAGTCATGTTCTACTGAATTATAATTACTTTCCATAGAAAATGTGTTTTTGTTCTTTTTTAATTAATTTTGGCACATGTGCGTGGTGGTAGGCCGTGTTTGTCTTTGATCTTTGCAGCAATATTCAATTCTGCTTCATTCAGAGCCCACAAATGTACCACCCCATTCCTTTTGTATTCATTTCTCACAGTGCTGACAGAATCCACCAAAGGTGGTTTGAAAACCTGTCACGACAAAATATACAAAAGACGCAAGCTGCATGTTTTTGATCACCTGTACTGAGAAAAAAATTTACTTTGTTATCTCACCTGATTGTGGCTGAAATGGATATTTTTATGCAAATCTGTTAGTCAAGCAACACCACGTTTAGTTTCAAGACTCCTATTGAAGCTGTGCTCAAGAATGCCTAAAGATTTTCAGATATCCTTTTATCTTTCAATGGGTTACAGGTAAATTCGAGTAAATACATGCCTTCTACACAATATGACTAATTTTTCTTGACGTGGGGTGAATGATAAAAGCATAAAGGAGTTAATGACAGAGTATCAGAAAAGGCCAGCGGCAGAGCTCAGTGAGTCCAATTAGCTCTGTGCTCTGTTCCTGAAAAACAGACTGAGGCAGAGATGGAGGTCTGTGAGGGCCTTATTAGCACCATGCTCTGATCACTTGTTCTCTGGAGAGACATTTTGTTATGTCCATGGAACCAGCGAACAAAAACCGTGATAGCTAACAGTGCAGTATACCCTAAAAATAACTCTTAGTCAGCAATTTACGCAGCGTTTTGCTTCAGATATGTAAATGTTAGGCGTGCTCCCATAATTAATTTATCAGAGGATGCAGTCCCACACTGTCCCCTGTTGGTAGGTATCAGCAACACGTGTCCAAACATTTGAGAATGTAAAGAAAGAGCAAGAAATGCTCCGCATGAAGCTCTTGCAGAAGTCCTGCAAAACGTTACTATCTGGTTCACCATATGGGAGTGAGATGCATCTGCTGAGGTGTAACTGCTAATATCCATCCTTCTGTTATGTACACAAAAGGCTGGCGCGTGTCAACGCCCTCCTAACCGTCCACGAGCTTCCATGCACCGAGCCTGCCGGGATGCGGGACACGTGTTTCTTCACACCTCCCACCCAAATGGCTGCGCAGACAGAGAGAGATAATGAGAAGTTTGTTAATGGGATCAAGAGTTCAAGTGACAAAAGTTTAGCCAACAGTGGCAAATGTTGGTCCCAAACTTAATTTCACTAAACTTGACTTTTGTCTTTCTCGTATATTTTCAACACAAGTAAGAATTTTGACAACGCAGGATTTCAAAATGTGCGTGATGACAGACAGTTTAGTAGATGTGACTAAGGTTAATAACAAATTTCCTAATTGTATGCCCCTTATTGCTTTACAGCTTATGTGTTTAGGACTTGTCCGAACCCTTACAATATTTTAATTCCGCACGGTTTCTTGCAAAATCGAGGGGAAAAAGGTGAACATATGGTCATTGTTTACTGAAGTGTGATTTCTCACCTCGGCCCCGTGGCGCATGGAAACACTTGGGGACGCGTCAAAGCGCAATTTGGCACAGACTGACGGGCCCCCGATAAATAGGGAGTTCCTGCCCTCACTTACCAATTCTGACAGGACTTTACTCCGAGCTGACCGGCACCAGGAGCTATGGAGAAAAAACAAGCCAACAGTGGAATACCGTCTGCTTTTGCTGGAGACAACTCGACCCAGCAGTCCAATTTGTGGAGACCTTGGAAAGGAAATGAGGGCGAAGCGACCCCATTGACAGTGAGTTAGGACGGTTCTCTCTTGTCTATTTTCTGCAGATTTGAGTCTACAGCGAAGTGTCTGTTTTTACTTTCAGCCTCGTGCATTGCAGCAGGACCTCTCCATTTCAAAACAGTCCAAAGCTCCCCAAGTCATCCATCCAGTGAGGTCATGTGAGATTCGTTCATCTAACGTGTTTTCATTCGTCAATATTTATTTTGAGGTCTGACATATTTATTCGTCCGTATTTGTTTGAAGGTTGTTCTGGCCGAAGTCGAGGTGTTTCGATTATCTGTATCGGGACGCAGAGATGCTGCTTCGGAACTATCCCATCCAAGCGACCATCTGCCCCTATGAAGATTCCAGCAGCGACGAAGAAGGCGAAGATGAAGAAGATATGGAAAAGCAGCAGAACTAACTGTCAGCATCTGTGGACTCAAAGACGCAACTCTTTCATAATATCATATTTATATTTCACTTAATTTATTCCTGTAAATAAATGTAAATAGCAATTCATTTCTTATCCAGACAGTAAGTTATTCCATTATCATGCCTACTTCTTTTGTACTTCTTTTGTACTGATCATTCTAATAAAATGCATCAAATAAATGTTGCTGTCCGAGGCCCATTTATACCTACATATGAGATATTGTTCCTGTCTATTCATTACTTAAACAAATAACGTTCTTTTAAGTTTTGGGAGAAAAAAAAGACAGATATGTCATTAAGAAAATACTTGTCATTCTACACCTTTTACCCTCTAAAATAAAATATTTCTAGTGACTGACAGATCATTTGGAGGTCAGTTTAAGATGTGGCAGGGAAACTATTTTTTACGCACTGCATTAACTTGCACTTAACAATTCTTCCCATGGAAAAGTGCAAAGTGGTTATCATTCCATTTCCTCTGTGTCGCCTGAGGTGTAGAGATGTGACAAATGGAGGGTGCAGACCCGTTCACAGAAAGCCTGACATAAGACAAAACTTACACAGAGCATTTTATCATTTAGCCTTTTTGTGTTGTTACATCCCAGAAATATACGGAAATAAAGACAGAAGACTTATGAAGCCGAATTATCATGACCTACTTTTACAGTTCAGACTGGACAGCTCCTTTTTAAAAAAGAAAAATAGCCTAACCCCACACAAGAATCTTTTAAGTGGCCCATCCGTTTTCTACAGCTCCCAGGTTCCTCTTGAGAGTACTTTTAACAAAGCTGACTAAAGTGAAGGACTTAAACATTAACTGCACTCTAGTACAAACTTGAATGAGTTTAACTCACATTGAGTGCATTTTTTTTCTTAAAAGCTAAAGAATGACTTACTTAGACGTTGAACTTTATGAACAGAGGACACTTGTATATATGTGGTCCATCTACCCACCTTAAAACTAGAGGACTCCACTACTTAGACTTTGTCAAGACATGACTATAACATCTCAAAATGAGGTGATCTCATAAAAGCCTCATGTTTGTAAATCAGAGATGGCAGGTTGAATTAGATGCAGGTCAAAAATCATTCAAATTTATGTAATACTTTAACAGCAGTGAACATGTGCATCAGTGCATTTGTGCCATTTTCGGATTAAAATGATGTAAATCTGAGTATTCCTATTTTTCTTACTTAAGAATATTTTCGTATGGTGTTTTTAGATGGTTTCATTTTAAACACAAATAGTGTGAAACGCTTGAATAGGTGCAGCACATTGCAAGGTCGGCTTTTAAAAAAAATCTGTGCCTTATTGTTTGTTATGTTTATTGTCTCACATGTTTTCCTTTTATCACTGTCTGTGTATCATTATTATCATTATTTTCAGTCTTGTTTGTAATGTTTTTTCTTTGCTGCTTTGGGACAATGGGTGGGATGCACTATTTCTGTGTGGCTTGTTTACATCATGTGTATTTAGAACTGATGTGCATTAACTTGTGCTGTGCAAGTTAAACAACAAACAGAAATACAGTTGAACTTTGGAACCCTTCCTTGACTTCTCGTGCCTTTCCATGGGAACTTTTTGGATTGTCTTTAGGTGTTTTGCCGAGTGCAAAGTTTACACACCTTCTTGGTGGGAGACAAGGTGGCCTCTGGCTGCATTTAGGTTTGGTGCCTAAATGCCTACCAATTAGACCAAGATTGTAGAAGCACAAAAAAGCAGAACATTCTCTAAAGAGTACAAAACCAGGTGGTGTTATATCAGAGTGATAAACATTAATGTGGAATATATATCTAAGTGCTGATCTAAGGAGTTTTGTTTAAGTGCTGAAGATCTGATCCTCCGCAACCATAAGCGTGTCTGGAGTTTCCCATGCATGGGTGTCAAAGCTGCGGTGTCACTTACTCTGGCGTGAAATTAGCTCACCTTCACAGTTTAACACGGAACCGATGCCCCCTCTGATGAACCCCAACCCTGCATGAGCTCCATGCCAGCTGAGGCAGATATGGATGAACAAGTTTATTTATATATACATGTATCCAAATATCTGGATTTTTGACAAAAAGGATCATGTCAAAATTAGAAAAGTACTGAGTGTATATTCTGGTTTTGAGTGAGGACATATGCTGGCTTTTACATTTCAATCAAATTACGATTCATTTTAAATTTGACCATAATGCACTGCCCTGTCTAAACATGACATGTGACCTTTTCAAAGTTTACACATTTCGTATGGGTACTGCTTTTTCCCAAAAGCTGGTGTGAATTTGGTGGTGAGGAACCAACACCTTAAAGGAGTGGACAGTCCAGAGTGTGACCTCTACTTTTAAACAGCTGTAGAGTATCTCCACACGGTTATCTTTGCCTGTAATAAGAAATGTTTTTACATATTTATGGACAGGAAGTATATCAATAGAATAGTATCTACCCTGCAACAAATTTTGATGCTTGTGATATTCGTTGCCAATATCTGAAACGTATATCTTAAATATGTCCTTTATATGTTCAAACCTGAATATATGTGCGACAAACGGTAAAGAGTACATATTAAAAATTGTTTAAATGTTTTTAATGTTCAGCTCTCTGTTCTTCGGCTCAGGGACACTCTGTGAATGTTGGCATCACCTTGTGAACTCTGACTACATGTTCTAGTGTGAATGCAGACACAAATGAGGTGACAAAGAGTGACTGTGCCGAGCTGAGACTGAAACTACTGGAGCAGCTTCCCACAGTCACACCTCTGCCTGGACAGAGGGAACAGAGAGCTGCTGGAAGAGTTGATACAAGTCTCAGATGGTTCAGCCGTGAGCCAAAAGGGGGCACTGCCGTGCTTTGCTTCTGCTCAGTACTTGTGATGAGGATGTGTTTTCTTTAGATGATGTCATGGTCCAGTTTTCCACCAGGTGGTGGTGTTGTTCTTTAGAGAATTCTCAGTTATATGGCTGAAGGAGGATGAACATAAATAAGCGTTTCAGATATTTCAATATGCAGTTAATAAAAAAAAAAGACAAACTGTGTTGCACAAGAAAATATATCAAAATAAACTAAGCGACTTTAAGTTATGTCCAAAATGAAAATATGTTCATATTTACTAAAACTTTGTTTTTCTTTTTTTTTTATACTAAAAACATTTAAAAATGGTGACAGTGATACAGATGGTCCACCACCCCCACCCCAATCCCCCCATCCCAACCACAGAGTTGTTTTCATGGATTTAATTTGAACGAACATACTGTCACCATCATCACATGTTATCTTAAATCTGTTTTTTGGAGAAACACAAAAAGCCCTTCACGCCATATGGTGGTGGCAAAAGGTTTTAGCGTCAAAGTTGTGAATATTTTTGATGTTTTAAAAGTAGCAACACATTTCTGATCTCAGGGAACTTAATAAGTAAATAAAAACCTTCAAATCCTATTAATTGAAAAGATTTTCTTGAACACATAAAAATAATTTGAAAAAGTTTGGCTATGCAGTAAAATCTGGCTTATAAATATTTGCAGTCCAATCTTAGATTTATATAACATGATGTATGTTTCAGTCTATTAAGATTTTTACGCTTATGTTATCACAGATTTAATCTTTTTTGTATTAGAATAAATTTGTGTTAAGTTTTACTCTAGGAGACGAAAAGAACAAAGTTCATAAGTCCTTTCATAACACTGAATTTGTTTGCTACTCTCCTACTAATATGATACAGAGGAGCAGTGTGATTAAGGAGCAGAAATAGAGTAATTGGTCAGTTGTTGTGCCTCTGTAATGAGACAGAGGACGTGAAGTGTCAGTGGAGTGAACTGAACCGTACAAAGTTGCTATGGTTCTTCTCTGAACATAAACATTCTTCCTCACACATCTGTCTTAAGAGAAATAGCTGTTGTGCTTTTTTTAACACCTTGTTATCTTACCCTCCACTTAAATAGTTAGTCTGGTCTTCTCCCTCTGAGATGGAGATAATTACAATTTCAGCAGCGGTTGTCAGGTGATTACCTCATAATCCCCTATTTCATTTGATAAGTCACGCATTGATTTAACTCCGAGTTGGACCTAATGGAGTATCTTTTTCACCACCACAGTGATTTGTATGCTGGGGCAAAAGGACGTTGGTGGATTGGAGGCAGAAAAACAGCCGCTCACCATTCCCGTTCACTCAGTCCCTGATTGTGAAAGATGAGCAACAGGAAGGCAGGTCAATCACGGCAACCTGAATGCAAACAGTAAATCACAGCAATGGCTGATTTACAGTGATGTGTGGTGGTAAGAACAATCCTGCTCACATAAAAACCCTTGTTTTGTTTTTCTATTCTCTCTTATTCCAGTCAGACAGGGGGGGATGGAGAGATGAAAACACTGGATGAGAGATGAGTGAAGGGAAAGAGGCCTGCTTGGTATTCACCTGTCTTTCTGGATCAATGAAGGTAATTTGGGCTGATTCCTCCCTGTAGGCCTCTTAGCAGACAGAAGGGGAGAGGGGTCAGCCACTGCTGAGCTGCAGGGAGCTGGAATAACTTAGAAACACTCTGCAAATGACTCATTCAGTGATTCCTCTGCCTTGTCAAGAGCTGCGATGTGCGTTATCCTCATGACATGTAAGATGCTGATGAAAGATTTATTTACGTCCAAACCAAAATTTTGGCGTAAAACCCCCAAAATGTAAGCTTTATTCAAAACTTCACAAATATCATGAATGCAATTTTTTGCAGTTGCGATTGCTACCAAGCAGCTCAATGAACAATTGTGGTAAAAGTAACAAAGGTTTTTTCGAGGCAGGACCTGTTGTGTTCAGAGTCTCTGGTCAAGCATCATAAATGACCATGGAATCATGGGTGTCAGCTAGAAAGAAAAATAATTCCTTTAACACACACAAACACACACACACATACCAATTGAAAGGTTTGGCTGGAGGATCAAGATTCAAAATCAGGGTGAAGTTACGCTTTTGCTGTTTCTGTTGTAGTTCATTCTAAACGCCTCGCAGGTTAATTTCCTTT